TGCCCAGGACAGGAGGGGAGAGGAGAGGGAGTGAACGGGAGATAGATGCTAGCCCAAGTGGGGGAGGGACGAGGAGATTGTTAGTGTCGTGGGAGCACTGCAACAACAATAACAGCAGTGTGCATGTGTGTGTGTGAGTATATACTAATGTTTGTGTGTGAGAGAGGGTGAACGAGTAAGAGTGGAAGTGGGGATGTGTTATTGCTCACAAAAGTGATGAAATGACAACTCCTTTACTCCAGCTCGCAGCTGCTGTTGCAGTAAAGAACACACTGTTGGGGTATCTGACCTTGTGTTTTCTTTGATAGCCGCTGGTCAGAAGTGTCTGCCTGCCTGTCATGTTCTCCTCTAATTAGCCACATCCACACAGTCACTTCACTTTCTCCGTTGTTGTCTGCATCTTCGGTGTAATCTGGTTTTCATGGATGTTTACTGAGAGAAATCCACAAACACAGCCATCTCCAAACAGAACGCTTTGACAGTTTGTGCTTGATACATTTTTATTTCCCAAAATATCCATGAGCCGTACAGATTTCATTGCCCTGCTAGTTCTGTTAACTAACTCTATTAACATTTAGATTAATCTGCAATGAACTGAGCTGAAGAATCTATGATTTTGGGGAAAACAAGTGTTTTAAGCTCATATTTTTTGGTTGTTTTCTCTTTTTCTTTCATCTGTTTTCCTCCTCCCCTCCCCCCCTTTCCTTGCAGATTAGAATTCATTAGCAATCAAAGAGCCTCCAGAGAGCTCCAGCTCTTAATTACCTACTCATTTGCATTTTTGCATATTAATGACTGCAGGGTTTTGGTCGGGTTTTTGCCGCAGTGGTTTAAAGGCACCTCAGTCCTCTGTTCTCTGGGGAGGAGGCAAGACGGCCAGAGGCAAAGCTCCAAGCCTGTCCAACCCCCCCGATATTTCCTGACGAGAGTTGGACAGTGTGAACGGTGTGTGTGTGTGTGTGGATGTGTGTGTATGCAGTCTAGTGTTAGCTGGGGGCATATGGCTTGGATGGGGTGTGGTGGTGAAGGTGGCTACAGAGGTGCACAGGTTAAAGTTCAATGTCCCTTATCAACATAAGAAAGAACACATGTCTTTGGCACTCACTAATTATTGTCATATTGAGCCATTTAAACACATGATCAGGACAAAATACACCCTGAGAGAAACTGGGAAGCTTAGGCTGCAGAGATTGCTCACGGCGACTGCTTTGGACGGAGCTCATGCTCCACAGCGTGCGGATAGAGTCCCAGTAGAAGTGGAGAAAATGAGGCTAAAGTCGTGTGAGGGTTTGTGCTTTCTCCCACCTCCTCCAAATGCTCTCTTGTAAGGCAGCAAAAATCTTGCTCTGTACGTGGTGCGCTAATGATCTGCACGCATGGGCACAAGCAGGTGTTGTTATAAAACAAAACCCTTGCTCTCGAAATACAAAAAGTCTTGATAGAAAGAGTTACAGAGCATGCTTACGCATACACATTCCTTGCAAGTTTGAATGTGCAGACTATAAGGGAATAATATCACAAGAGGCACCAGACAACAGCTCGGAGGCATCTCCTGGCCCCTGAAGTGCTGCTGCTCCTTTTATACAATATGTTTTGACTAGAACAATGGTGTCTGAAAATGGAAAATAACACCCTACTCCACTGTGCTTTTTTTTCTTTTTTAGCAACCTTACAAACAAAACAATAAAATGACATGAAGCCCTTAGACATCTGGACGACAGGTTCAAACCTTGCAGAGTAAAATATCCATCGACTTTCCATTCATAAAGGCTTTCATTACTCAAAGCAAGACATATTCTTCACATGCAGCATTCCTGAAATAGAGCTGGCTTAAGTCGAGTTAACTGCTATTAGTGGAGCATTATAAAATGTGGTGTGTGTGTGCAGCAGGAGCCTGAGGACTGCAGCAATGTGTGGGCTGTTGGGGTGGGGTTAATGAGCTATTCCATGACCTCTGTCACCCCGCTGGACTGCCTCAGGGGAACACACTGAGACAAACAGGAAGACAGGGTGACAACAAGCCTGCAGTTGTAGTCTGCTGCTCTGGACTTTTTCTGCAGAGAGAAAGGTTTAACATATGGATAGGTAGCCTCAGCTCAAAGGAAACTTGTGCTGAAGTATAGCAGTTCAAAACAAGATTTGTAAGTTGACTTTTTACTGAAATAGTTTTGTTTTCTACATTTATAAGAGATCAATTAAGTGTTATTATTTGTGTGGACCTATGGTACACAGTATAGTCTGCTCTGGCAAAGACATGATGTTGATGAATGAATGCAAGAAAGGGGCTCTGCAGCCACAAGTGTTAATACCAGGAGTTGCACTGCCACCTGCTGGTAGATTTAGGGAACTTTTTATTTCTTATGCACAGAGTTAGAAGTTAACAAAGTGGACAGGCGATGGATGCTGTATCAATTTAAATCCTTTTTTAAATATTTACTTTCTTCTTTAATTTTACATTGGACACCAAGCAACTGTACTTTAAAAGAGAAGAAAACAAATTTGTTTTAAAGAGTATCTTATTGTGTACTGACTGAGTCAAAACCCTACGGAAAGGGATTAGGGTCAATGGAAAAAAAAAATGTTAACGGATTTTTATTTTTTTTTTTAATATAGGAAAAAAGTCAGAATTCTGACTTTTTTCCCATACTAAACTGAAATAAAATTTAAAAATCAGTTAACTTTTTTTTTTCACTGGCCCTAATCCTATTCCGTAAAACCCCACATACAACCCCTCTCACATTTGATAATGATATTCACCTTAAATATCCTTTTTAGTAGCATATTTGTGATGATAAAGTAATATTAAACATGATGAACAGAATCCAGGGAGTCTAATTGTCCTGATCAGGGACTGATGTGTTTCACACTGGAGGAGGTCCCGCCTCACCAGGACATACATGACCTGCTCTCTAACCACTAACACCACACCACATATAATGTCTGGGTAAAGTGTTGGAAACCTCCATACTTTTTTTTTTGTGGCTATCAATAGGGTTATTTATGGAGAAATATTTGAAAATTTTTTGTCAGAAATAGCAAAACAGAATCTGATGGGTTTAGACCTGGCCTTTTAGACCTGGGTTTAGACCTGGCCTATTCTAACATTTCCAAATTTTGTTTTCTGATGATAGAGTAATGGTGTCAAGGTTATGCTATTTTGTGCACCACACTATTAAAACTTATTGCCAGCAAACCCTCAGAATGATGCTTTCACTACTTGACTTGTTGGTACAGTTTTAATGTGGAAGCTCCAACCTGATTCCTCTGAGCATATGAATGGGCTTTGTGGCTCAATCTTTGCCTCCAAAACCTTTTCTCCAGAGGAAATGTATATTTTTAGTGAAGTCTGAAGGTGTTGATTTTTATTTTGGTATCTTTCTTGGTACTCGACATACTTCATACCTACACATCCTTGTTCTATGCCCTAACCCTGACAATAACCTTAAAGCTAACCATTACCAGTGTATATTTAACCCTAACTGGGACCTAAACTCGTTTCACACCTTAAATCTAAAACGATTAGCAAAAATAAAGGCAGAAACACCTAAATTGTGTGTGGAGGTTTGGGTCAGATGGTTGAAACTTGGACATAGTTGGTTTTATCCAGCAGGGCAATGATCTATAACACACATTAAACTTGATTTTGCAATGATTAATGTTTGAAAACATTAACTTTCTGGACCACATCTCTTTAGAGACATGTGTGGAGCTGTACCAGAAAACAAACCACTTTAAACAAAAGAAACCATTTCTGTTATTCTGTTAAGAATAAAGCTTCAATTACCTATTAGAATTATGCCAGAAGTTTGTTGATGCCTTCAGAACATTTCTAATCTTTATGTAAATTTGTCAAATCGGTTGTTACAATGTAGTAGTTTTTATTCTAGTATTTCTATATATGTATTTTTTTATTTGAAATAGATATTAAATAAATTTAAACTTGTTTAAATCGATTTCTAAAATCACTGAGAAAAGAAAAATAAATTGATAAATAAAAGATGTCCATTCATAGCCTTGTTAAATGGATGCAAATGCTTTTTTACCAACATTTCATAATCTAAAAAAAAAAAAAAAATTTAAAATCAGATCCTCTATATCGGCAACAGTGTTTTAGACATTTTCAAACAGGTGTAAATCAAACAATTCATATTTTTCCCCACGTGTTTGCATTTAAGTAAGAGAAATTCACACAAATCTTTTCAACCATTGTTTTTCTTTAATAAGAAAGATTTTATATTCTTTAAACCAGACAACCAGATGCCAGACATTTTTTTGGATATATAAAAAAAAAGAACAGAATGAAAAAAAAAAGGACACAAAATGGAATTAGATGGTCTATGTGTGTGGATTTAGTGGTCTCATATACAATATTCTCTTTTTGTTTCCAAAAAGTGCAAAGTCTCCAAAAACAGAAAACACCAATAATCCCTCCCCAGGTTCCACTCTACCCTGACACCACCCCCCCGACATTCCTCTCCTTGCAGCTTCCAGCAGATATGGACTAAAAGAACTATATGCAAAAGAAATCAAAACATGAAAATAAAAGGCTTGTTTAAAAAAAAAGACACACACTGAGCCTCACAACATCAGAAACCTCTGCTGCCCCCTGTGGGTAAAACCCGTTCATTGATCTGTAAGTTAAATGTGGCTTCATTCCAACAACTTTAGCTGGCAGCTTTTCTGTCTTCAGCTCACTTGTGAAAAACACAGTTGGATGTGGTCAGCTCTGAGTTATAATTTCTACTCTATCTGGACTCAGTGTGGATTTGAATGAACAAATTTGACTTTTCTGTCACTTTTTTTATGCAAAAACAAAACAAAAAAATAAATAAAGCCAACATTTCTGTAAAGATTGGTAATAATCGCCTTTTCTTTTATCCCAAGCTGAATGATTTCCCGAGCTTTTTAGTGCTCATAATGACATTGTACTTCAACTTTAGTGCAGTTACCATGATTTATTTATTAAGGCCAAAACACATTTCTGTGCTGATCCGTAAATGTAAGATGAGAAATTCATAATTTAATGGTCATACAGATACCAGATCCAGCCTCTCCCAACACAGATAGGCTATTAATGTAAAGGTGATTAATATGCAGCCTTCTCAGAAAGCTTCTTTACAGGTGTTATACACATTTCTTTAAAAGAAAGAGATCAGATGACCTTTTTTTGCAGCAAGATCTAGCAGAAAGCAGGTGTGAGAAAGTGTCTTCTGCAGCCCCTCTCCACACAACAATGAGTGAGAGTATGCAATAAGCTGCATAACAGGTATGGTGGTAGGATGACAGAGATGCATTTGCAAATCAATCTATATACCAAATATTCAAGTTTTTCTTTCTATTTATCCATTTTCAATATACATATATTTTTGCATTTAAATAATCATTTGAATTAAGACAGCGAGGGAAAAAAATTGATAAAACACAAAATTCAAGATGGACTCTTGCAAAGTGCTTTTGTTACAATCGCAGAAGCTGAAAAAAAGGCAGTCAGAAAGTTAGTGGTACACTGTGGGGTGGGTTGGGGGTCTCCGCTTAGCGTTACAACTACAAATATCAAACATTTCCTCCTGTCGTCTTGGACTTGCATGGACCTCACTGTGTGATATCGTGGAATGAATCCTGACTTTGGTCTGAGGTGTTAGTAAACTAAAAAGTCTTAATAAAAATCTCCAGTTTACCACATACTTTAATCCTTTTCTTTCTTTTTTCTGACTTCATGACTCCTCTATGAGGGTGTGTTATTTATGATTGGGTGGAAACTCCCTCCATGGAGAAGATGAGCAATGAGTCAAAGATATTTATCAATTCCTAAGAAAAGCCGAACAGCTAACTATGAGTATCGGTTAGAAGGAGCTGTTGTTTGCAGGAACATCCCACTGAGGGAATCCTTCTTGACGAACTATGATGCAAAAATTCTTCAGAGGGATATGGCAGAAAAAGTCTGGGAACGAATAACCAGACAAGCTATAAACTGAGCAGATAATGAAACCCAATGCATAGCAGTGAATTTTCCACCTGAGTAGTACTTACATAAAGACAGAAGAGACCAGCAATAGTCTCTTTGTTTTCCCAAACATATAACAAACTCTCCTGTATAAATGTGGCCGTGCTAGTTTGGCGAATCGACTCTAGTGCTCATCGCTCGGGCTTCCTAAACTGAAAATAACACTCAGCCTTGCCCAACCGGCCATGTTTAATCCTCCCTGTGTGCTAACCTTTGTATCCCCCAGAGACTGACAAAGACTCCAAGTGCAAACTGTGTCCACTTGGCTGAGAGGCAACCATCAGACAGAACTGTGCCTCTGAAGGACCCAGGGCTGTCTGTGCGAGCGCCAGAGCCATGCTGAGCATGGAGCCGTACTGCATATGCTGCACTCAGGCTTGCTGAGCACCAACAGCCTGATGAAGAAAAAGAAAAAAAAAAAAAAAAAAAAAAAACAAGGTGCAGCAAAAGGACTAAACGAAGCTACCCTTTCCACAGTCGTTATAGGCTATACTAACAGTCAGCACGTCCTGCTTTGTTAGAATATTTACAGTTCTAGTTATCGTTTGTCTTTGTTTGGTGGCCTTCTCAGATAGATTTAATAAGAATCTTTGATAATAACACGAGACAGATACATGTCGAGGTCAAGTCTGAAGAAAAAAAAAAAAACAGCCCACGAAAATGTAGGGAAAGTTGGAGCCTGTAGCCTGCGTCGGAGTAACCTTGGTCTGGGGCTGAGGCTGCGAGCACACATCAGAGCTGTTCAAGACCCAGATGCAAGAAAAGTAAAGAAACGAGCCGTCTTTACATTAATGACTAAATAATTCCCTACCGTAGGATGCCAATTCAGCTTTTTTATGTCAAAATAATTGAACAGATTTTTGTTGTTGATCCCTAAGGCACGCTTTGGCCCTTGATGCTGAACAGTCAACCCGGTGAGAGTCAGCCTCAGCCCCACACTCCACAATAGTCTGGAATCAAACAAAATAAGCTTAACACTCCTCAGACAAGGCCACAGATCATTTACAGTCACTTCAACCTTCTCAGATAACACACTGAAGTCATTCAGTTCACCAGAGATCAAGAGCAAAAACAGTCTTAGAAAAGGAGTATTGGTAGGCATTGATTCATAATCAGAACAATAAACATAGAGATGTGGCTATCTGTGTCACCTTCGAACAGATTTGGAACAAGTCAAACATTTCAAGTTTTTTTTTTCTTCAGAAAAGCTTTACTGCTCATCATAAAGTTTTACTCTATGATCTCTTAATCTAAAAATAAAATTCTGTTTCCATCTGAGAATCTCTTATCAAAAGCCTTTAGAATAAAGAATAAAACCTAAAATCGGTAGCTTAAAATGTCCAGTGATGACAAGGAAACCTATTTATTTATTTTTCCGGCTTTGGTATGTTACTCCTGGGAGTCTGTATATTTCTCAACATACTGTACATGATTAGATCTAAAGGAGGATTTTGAAAGGACTCTGAGAGACCGTTGAGTATCGACCACGCTGCTCTGTGCTCATAGACACTTGCAGGCCTTTAGTTGAGGTCTCGGGTCCTTCTCCCCAGAAGCAGGACGAGGACGTTTTTACAATAGTGCAAACTTTTGCTCTCTCAGCTGAAGCACCATCTCCAGTGCTTTTTAGGCTTTTTATCCATACCCCCACCCACAAGCACCCTTATTTTATACACCCTATCCTCCTGGCACAGCATCCAAAACTATGACCCTTCCCCCAAATCACACATACATACCGCCATGTACAAATTTCTTAGGAAAACAAAAAAAAAAACAGCTTCAGCGAAACACACAATTTTAAGAAAATTAAAGAACAGGCTATACATCCTTGAACCTCTGAACCATTTTTTTTTTACAAACATACAAAGAATGAGAGGAAGTGAACTCAAGTAAAATGATCTGAAAGATGACGAGCATCCATGGCTTAGTCAGGGAGGTTCAGACTGAATAAAAAAAAAAAAAGAAAACAGAAAAAAAAAACACACTTATTATCCCCAGTCTGCATTTGACTAAGATGGAAAACAAAAAGCTTTGGTCAATCAACAAAAACTACCCTAAGGTCAGATTATAATGGCTCACAGGTAATGTTGGGTAAAAAGAAGAGAAAAAAAAATCATCCACATTAAGACACAGAGGGTTTAAGCAGTCCATTCCAAGTACCACCACAAATAAAGACAGACGTTAACGAGCTTACAATGGTCTAGAATTGGGAGCGCTGCTGTACGATCATTAAAACCCCCATTTAATTTATGAAAGAGGAAAAAAAAAGGAACATAAGACTTTGACAACCCCTGACTGACATTGACCAACGAGAGTAAACTAGTGCTATGAAAACCTGCGCAGAGAGCTGCGAGATAAACAAGCTGCTGTCCGACACTTCGATTTGCAGAGCGATATTTCTGCTTCTGTGCAACCGTGGACTCATCCCCAGAAGCACGTGTAGGTTTGAGAACAGATGGGATGGATGCAAAGGCTTGTTTAGAACAGTTATCCTGAGACCCTCCAGCCTGCCTGCCAGCTTGTGCATGTGCAAACACACAATAAAGGATGGATATACAAACACATACAAAGTGCCCTTTCTTCTGCCTCCATATTTTATATTAAGACGTAAAGACAATCACTGACAGCGAACTTCAAGTGCATTCTTTTGGATCACAAACCTCATTGGTGTGTACATGACCCAGTTAGGCCTCTCTTGTGGGAACTACTCTCTTATATCTTCTCAACAACAAGTACAAAGGGAACTCAAGTTTACCACAATGGACAGAAAAGAGGGACTGATCTCATTTGCTACCGGTTTGTTTCAAAGTACCCGTTTTGTTGGCCAAAGCGCCCAATCTCCCTGCAGGAAAGTGCTCCATAACCAGCCTCAAACCGAATAAGGTGCAAAAATCAGCACTTGCACAGAAATTCCAAACATCCTCTTCTAAAAACGTATTATGCCTTTAAATAAAAGATTTACAACCTTAGATGAACAACAAACCATGAGATATTATGCTGTATAAAAACATGTGTTGGGTTAAAAGTCTGAAGGGAAAGACATCAGATCACCTGGCTTTAAAAGCAGCTAACAACTAAGGGTCTGTTATGTCTGGATTATTAAATCTATTCAGAAAAAGATACATTTAGAGCACTTTAATCTGGAATGTGTTAATAAAGATTTCATAACAATAGTCCTTTTTAAAAACTGGAGTTTGCAACAAGTTGACATGGACAACATGTGTAGTACAGTAAAAAAAAAAAGAATCTCAGGCTTAACAGGCTATTACAGCACCTAAAACATTAGCACACTGGTAAAAGACTGATCAAGTATGGCTTAAATTTTTACTTTTTTTTAAGCAACTATGGCTTAGCTTTCCCAAGTTGCAAACAAATAAACTATTAGACTCCTGAACCAAATCTCATTGAGAAAGAAGAGACCAGTGCGTAAAGCTTTACACTGTTTACACTGTCCCCAAACAATTAGCTGCTACCGACAAGTTTAGCATCTCAGGATTTGGGTGTTAAAAAAAAATAATAATCATAATTTGGTGCAGCAAATCAAATACACACTCTTTTTTTGAAAGACTTGTTTACATATGTGTATTTTTTTCCAAATCATTTTTGTTAAATAAGTATATACATATAAAAACTGTGATATCTTCCCTGGTAATTGTTCATCTGAGGTTGTAAGATAACTAAACAATGTCGTTTTTTTTTATGCAGGAAAACAGTCGGATGTGTTTGCATCGTTATTCTGATTGCATAAGCTGGATGTTGGGGGGGGGGGGGGGGGGGGGATTCATATACAACCCTGGAATCTGGACATGCATTGTTAAGACTAGAAAAATTAGCCAAACAACCTTGCATTTACTGACCATATCAAAGCAGATAGTGTGAGCGGTGGCGTTTTTCCTCCTCTCAGCAGGATACCTGTACGTGAATAGCACAGGGAAAGTGCAGAGGGGCTGGCAGCTCAGGGTGCATGTTTGAACAGGCTGTGGCTGACTCACACACTGATGATGTGGCCAGAGGGACCCTGGCTGCCACACACACACACACACACACGCACGTTCACAACACATGTACATGTAAACTCACTCGTACAGTAAACTACCAGCACCAGGCGTCCCGGCTCTAATATAATAATAATAATATCTCCTCCAGGCTGGTTCAGGGGCATTAGAGGATAGGCAGAGAGAGGGAGAGAAAAAAAAAAGGTCTGATTTGATCCCCTCCCGGGCTGGAAACGTGGCTGAGCTGGGGGAGATTATTTTTTTGGAATGCAACAGACATTGCGAGTCCCCCCCTCCTGACTTGTCCCCCTCCCCCATCAACCAGCTGCAGCTGGGCTATCTGGTCTCCCAACTTGGACAGGTATTTATTGCTCTCTTCATCACAGGTTGCCTTATGGTTGTATGGTCCCTGGAGCAAAGAAAGAAGCGGAATAACCATCATACACGCATCTAATCTCAATCTCCCTCTCTCCTGAACAACAACCCAGATTCCTTTATATATAAGCCTCTCCTGCTTTGTTGGATATCTTTAGTAAAGCTGTGCAAACGTAGAAAAAAAAGGTGCTCACATATGTCTTCTTCGTACTCTTTCTACCTTGCTCCCTGCCATTCGTTTAACCTGCAGCCACACCTTGTCACACAAGGTCAGACTCCCAAAAAAAAACAAAAAACCCAAAAAATGTAGAAAGTTAAGCACATTCATTCATTAAACGTTCTTATCCACTGGGCGGGAACTGTACATGTCAAGTTTTAAGTTTCTGACAATTAGCTGACTTTTTATATATTCTTTTCTTTTTTTTTTTTTTGCTTGTTTGTTTTTGAAATTGAACATTCACACAGCTTTGTTTCTTTCACCCCAAAACTTCAACTGTGTCTGAGAAAACTAACATCAAGCCAAAAAGGAAAAATTAGTGAGTACACCTCAGTGAGAGAAGGGCCAATGCCATATCAGCATCTGCTATATACACACGTATACAATTATAAAGTGTCGAGTACCCAAAGGAACAAAAAAAAAAAAAAGATAAAGAATTAAGACAAAATCAACAGGTCAAACAAACTCTGACATTGCAGGGCTGTGAGGGACAGGAGGCCATGTGGTTAAGCCGACAGATACATTAAGAACGGTAGTGCTTCAAAAACACACACCCTCCACCCCTCGCCATACTCTACCTGTGAACGATGAGCTCCCGCTAAAGTGGATTCAACTCAAGCCAAACTCGTTTTTCAATAAGACAAACCACCGATTACAAAAAAACAATAACAAAAAAAAAAACAACAACATTTTTTTTAGAGTAAGTAACACTTCAATCAACCCCTCGCCTGATTCTTTCTGGAACAATTAAGACGGAATAAAAACGGTCTTGCATCAAAACATTGGTGAGTTTTCCTTGCATATACCATATTGTGGAAATGTTGTTTCTATGGTAACTGTACATCTCAAAGCTGCGAAAGAATAGAAAAAAAAATAGAGTTGCTGCTGGGAGGATTTGTCCTGGCTTCACTGGTACAGCAGCCAGAAGGTGCGTGACAGTCACCTCTCTCAGAGCTTGAAGGCTGTGAGGACAAAACCAATAAAAATTTAAATCAACTGCATAGTTGTTTGGTGTTTCTTTGTATCTATCATACACTTGCCTAACTGCATATGCTGATGTAAAAAAAGAAAAGAAAAAGAGAGTCTAATATAAAGAGATAAAGCCCAGAAAGTGGACGTCACGGGTGGATGATTTGAAGCGTTCTTTCCTCTTTAACAAATAAAACAAATGAAGTGCTTGCAAGTCTATTCCAATTCCTAAAGTAAAAGGAGAGAGAAATATAAAGATTAGAGATCTGTGACACCCTGATTTGGTTTATAGAGGAATAGTTAGTTGTTTTGTCTTTTTAAATTGCCTTTGCATGTTTATTTTTTTGTCTTCTCTGTCCACCGGCCTGTCTCACAGGCCGTGCAGAGCAACTGTGGCGTCCAGCAGCGTTCTGGTGGTCCCCTGCAGGCTCAGGGTCCTGTCTCTCCCCCCAGCTCCTGCAGCTGAGGACTGTGTTTGTGCTCCTCAGCAGCAGCCTCCATCTCTGCAGATGCGTCGGAGCGCCGCCGTCCCCTGATGGTGCGAGGTCCGGGCCCAGTTTCGGGGCTGGGGCTCAGAAGGCTCTGGGGGGCTTCCAGGAGCCCCGGTTCTCTCACCCGTGGTTTTCTGCCCCGGCGGGAGGGGATGCCATTGCAACCGTCCTTCTTAAGGTGGCGGTGCAGGTGATCTGAACGCACAAATGTCTTAAAGCAGCTTGAGCACTGATAGGGGCGGAGGCCAGTGTGGACACGCATGTGGTTCTTCAGGTCATAGTTGTGAGCGAAGGCGGCTCCACATTGTGTACACAGGTAAGGCTTCTCTCCTGTATGCTTTCGCATATGAACCTTGAGCTTGTCCTGCCTGAGAGGAGGAAAGACAAACAAGGCTTAAGAATACACAAAGAAAATGTCTAACATTCAAAGCAAACAGCTCACTTTTGTCTGAGTGCGGCGTGTTCAAACCGCCAGCTTCACTATTTGGTTTATGCATTAGTAAATAATTATCACAAAATTTATTACTAAATTTCACGCTTGCAAGGATCATCTTAATAGGCTTGGAATGATTTCATTTTCTTTTAATTGTCACATATTGGCTCTCCTCCAGGTCTGTGAGGGTTGCAAGTCCAGCTGAGGAGAAGTCATAAACTTTACATCTTTATCTGTGTGACCACACACCAGAGCTTGATTGCACATTAACACAGGTCCTCTGGATACATAGTCTCAAGAGATCTGTATTGTTTACAATGTTGGAGCTTTAAACAGGACAAAACCATAATCCTGTCTTCAAATTAATCAAGAAGAAAGAAGTTTAGGTTATCCTATTGATGAGGCCTAATTTATATTTTAAATGAGGACTTGTACAATAATATTATGGGCAAAGTAAAACATAAAAAACAACAGATTTATTCAGCATAGATGTGCTCCAAATGTTGACCTGAATTAGAAGATTTTTTTGCAGCTCTTAAACTGAAAAATCAAAAAGGACGTAAAAAAACTCAAAGATTTAGAATAGGAGGCGATAAACTGCACATAAGTGTACATGCAATAAGTGGGCGTGTTGTGGGTGATCTAAAACTGATTTGATTCTGTCCATTAAAATGAGCAGATTGCAGTTTGAAAGTGTCCATAGAAGAAAGTTGAGATTCAAAGCCATAGAGATGGAGAAACTAAATATTAGTTATTGTGCATCTTAGAGCCTATTAAAAGTGCTATGAATAAAAGTAAAAAAAAAAAACTTGTACAGCTTCGTGTACGGTTATGTTTTATTTAATTAAGGGTGAAGACAATCCCTGTAGTGAAAAGATGCACACTGTCATCCCCTCAGCCCCCACCATGTCTCTTTGCAGGCTGCTGTGATTTTCTATTTTTATAAACATGCCGCTATTTAGATTCAGTCATTGTTTACATTTTGGTGTTAATTCTACATAGATTTTCTGCCGTCCTGCAGCATTAATCTTTTCCAACCTACATATATGTTTTTTCTTGTTACTTTTGATGGTCCAAATATATTTACATGCGATTTGTAGCGATTCCTCCTTAGGGGCCAGAATGACTGCAGATATCTTTACATGTCAGTTTGTGACTGAATTTCAGAAGCACTAAAAAGACACAAAACTGCGGCCGCAGTTCAGTTTCTGATTTGGAAAAATGCTTTGCAGGTTGTAAATGTTTACATTTGCGTATCCTCCACCCGTGAATTTTTGCAGTTTGGTCATTAGAATATGACGCAGAAAAAATGCTCTCTGCTGCATTGAAAACGCAAATCACTCTGCACTGTCTTTGAAGAGCTGCACTGCATCTACAAACACATTTCCTCTGACATAAGAGGCCAAACCTTCCAAAGATCCGGGCCTAAGAGTAGCCATTTTTTAGGGTTTCCTAACACCACATAGATTCTGAACGTAAAACCAATCCATGAACAGAGTGGATTTTTTATTTTAGTAAAACCAACTTGATTGGCCTTGAAGAGCAACCATTTAGTGGGAAACAGGAAAATCTGCAGTTTTTCTCATTTGTGAACCGACCAGATATAAGTGATACCAGGTTGTACTGACAACTCTCACATAACTCTTTGATCTTCAGCATCTTATCCACAAATATATACTAGTCCAGGCATCAAAAGCCCGGAAAGTCTATCCAACAGACAGAACACATTGCTGTCATGCGGGATATGCAAGTATTGTACTTTATACTAAATCCTACCTTGCAAACAGTCCTTTTGATTACAATATTGCTCTCACCAAACACTGGTGGTATATTAAAGGGGAGCTCTAGACCAGACACGTCTGCATTCCCCTAAACAGTGAGGCTGAATGGAATTCAATCAAGGTTTCTCTCTTTTATCCTTCTGGACCCGTCTGTCAGCAACCATCCAGGATCGCAAATCTTGGCCTTTCAGAAAACTCAGATTAGTTTTCTTCTTTAGGGGAAACATTTTTACATTAAATAAAGCTAAACATGCTAAGCGCTAAATACTGTTTTAATGTCCAATTGAATAACATTTTGGGACATATCATTGCAGCGAAACACTGCTCACTGAACTTATCAGGCTGCCTTGGCCTTCCTCTGACTCTTGTCCTTCGGTCCCCCCTTTAGCCTTTACTACCTCCCTCTAGCTTTCAAGCTCTTAAATCGTCTAACCTTCCTACACTCCAGGACAAATAAGTGCTGCTGTTAGGACAACTCCAACTGAACCTGCCTACTCACAAACACACACACTCAAACAGGGCAAATGTCTTATAAGTTATTATATTAGCTGTGATACAGGCAGCTGATTAAAGCCACAGTAACCTTTGCAGATCTGTGACCCAGACATAAAAACATTAACAAACAAAGATGAAGAGGAAACGCTCTTAATGAGGCTGCAACATTTGGACAAAATGGCCCACTGACAGAGTTGAATTATTTAAAGGATAGCAGTGATTTAATACTGTGCAAGGCAAACCCTTAACCCTGATCAAACAGGATTAAGATCACAATGCCCCCTCCTTCCCCAGTTGGTTAAATTTAGCTGGAGAGTAAATTAAGAACAGTTTTCCTCTTGCTAAAAGGGGTTTTTGATATGTTCAGATGGTAGCATCTATTTTTAAAACAAACCAACTTATTAATTGATTTAAGTAATTATTTGTAGGAAAGAGCAAGCCTTCCCAAAAAGGGAAAACCTGACGCATAGATGCAGATAAGCCACGTCTATCTGTTTCCAAAGGGACACGCAGCAGATTTTATTTGAGAAGCGAAGGAGTGACAGAGGAGGGGGTTGTGTAAATACTCTGCTGTGGGCAATAAGCAGCATAACAGCAGATCAAAAGTTCACATCACTGTATCAGAACGCCATCCAGGGCCTGCAGTCCCCCTGTGTATCAGAATACATTCTTTTATGGCCACCTTTCACAAGATAACACATTCATGGCACAGCCTTCTTTTATAGGACCCCGAAGTTAAAATTCCAGGACTTTGTCATGAGGGCTGCCAGCATAAAACTGACCTTTATAACACTCCGGCCCCCTCCCTCACAGCCCTGTGATGTTACATTAGTAGGAAATCTGTTTAGTACCTTGTCAATCCATGATCAGGGTAAACGTGGACACAAACTGCACTGCCTAATGCAAAGTTAAGGTGGTTAGCGCTAATTCTCCAGCTCTTGGCCCTGTGGTATCTCCCTCCACTAGGTCGTTTGTCCAAGACTATTAGCACATGTGACATGAGGTAGTCCCTTCATTAAACGGGCTTACCTGGTAAAGCGCACTTTGCAGATGGCGCATTCATAGGGTTTCTCTCCTGTGTGTGTTCTGATATGGCGCGGTAGCTTGCCTGCACCTTGAATGACCTTCGAGCATATGGGGCACTTCTGAAAGGCCTTAGAGCGCATCTTTCTTTCCCCTCCACCTCCTCCGGTTCCGTTTCCTCTCTCCTCGCCCACCCTCTCTCCCACCGCCGTGTGCTGGCCTGCGTTGCCTCGTGACATCCACAGCGACGGCACACTGTGCATAAGCGAAGCGGAAGCTGCGTCTTCGTGCTGCGTGCTGCTAAAATAATTCAAGTAAAATTCCATGTCGGGGTCGTCCCCGTCTCCCTGCTCCTCCCCGGCTGCTGCACGCCTCTTCTGCCTCTCAATGGAGTCCATCATTTGTTGTAGCAGGGCGCTGGCAGAACCTCCCTCCCTCACCTCCCTACAGCCGTCCTCCACTTCTGTCTCCTGCCGAGACTCGGAGGGGAGGTAGAAGTGGCCGTTTTGAGATGAAGGGTAGTATGAGGACCCCAGGTTGACTCCATTGCCCTTAACTGCCTCTTCATCTTCCTCTTCATCCTCATCCTCTTCCTCGGGCTCTTGTGCATGGGGCTGTGACAAGGCCAGGGCCAGGGGGGAGTAGTACTCTCCGGGGCCAGCAGGAGTCCCATTGCTGGGGGTGCTACCGTTACCATGATTAAAGTGCAGGTGTGTGGGCAGTTCCCTGAGCTCTGGCGTGCTGCAGCTGCTGCTCCAGTGCGCCCCTCTCTGGAAGTACTCCAGGTACTCCCGGGCTCGGTTTCGGTTCCCCTGCTCCTTGACTCCTCTGCATTTCCCCTCTTCGTCTTCGTCTCTTCGCTCACTGCCCGCCTGTTGGGATAAGAAAGGAAAAGTGAGTCTGGGAAGGGAAGATTTGCATTAATGAAAGTGAGTACAAACCACCAGCTAAGAAGAAAAGAATAACGCATTTGAAGCATTCAAAAAAGAATACAATCATAAAAAAACTAAAAACATAAAACGAAGTGCAAACCTCTAGAAAAGGTAATATTTTTATGAAACAATAGAACAGCGGAGCCAGTTGGATGACAAACTGCGATGTTAAAAGCTAACGGTAAAATAAAAACCCTACGGCGGAGACTGGAACCACACGAATTTCACCTTCCATGAGCAGAAGCATATAACTGAGGAATGTTGGCTGTTCTTTCTGTTTCAGAGAGCTAGACGTTCATGTGTTCAGTGGTCATTTTGGACTTTGATGGATCTGGTTCTTTTACTCCCAAATCAATGGAGAGGAATCCAGTGTCAGTTAGTCCCTGCCATAAACAGACGTGTTGTTGAAAAAATAAAAAAGGACAAACTGATCAGAGCTAACTTCATCAGAAACTGAAAATGTTGCCTTGACATTGACTGTTTTTATCACTGACCCCCTCTGTGCTTTAAAAAGTTTTTGTTTGGGAAATGTTGAGTTAAAATGTCAGAATTAGCGTTAAGTTCAAGGCTTTATAGAATGGCTCAAAACACTTTGGCTTAGAACATATGCAAATTGAACCGGACACAAATTGGACCAAAACAAGGCTTTGTTTTGGTCCACTCAATAAAGCCTCGAACTTAACGCTAATTCTGACATTTTGAATTGAAAAAGCTCCCTTGATGGGAAGCAAAACCTCTTCAAACTTGGAAACAAAGTCCAGTAGATTTTTAACTTCTTTCAAATGACTATGACCTGGATGACTGAGAATCCTCACCAGCAGATTCTGAGGAATACAGAAAATGCTATTTAACACTGCTAACCTCTACAGATAATTGCAAATACAAAATCTATTCATTTAATTCCATCTTTCTTTCAAAGCAGTCAAACCAACTTTTACACAAACAGCTCTCTCTCTCTTACTCAGCTGGACACCGGCTTTCCTCCCGGGTCACATGATTTATGGCCGCCTACAGCACTATAAACTAAAAAAGAAATATTTTGAACAACAGAAATCTGAATTATATAAAACCTATACTCAAGGGCTGAAGATTTACACAAACAAAAAAATCAATAAAACATACATATCCACCAACAGCTGACTGCAGCATGAATGATTTGCCGTTCCACAGGCGAACATCCCTGCTGCAGTTGAAGATGTTGTACGGTGCTGTGTCTGTAGCCTGTGAAGGAGCATGCTGTGCTTCAGCAAATGTTGTTGGCTCAGCATGAGTAAGTGTTAAACTAACTCCAAGCTGTGGGTGTGTGTTTGGCATAGTGAGAGGCACTGATACAGGCCATGATGTAAGTCTGTTTATGCTGACTGTTTTTTTGAGGTGGGTGCCATGATGACTGTATGCATTATTTTCAATGTGGATGGTCTAAAGGAAGTAGCTTCCCCGTTCAAACCGCCTAAAACAATAAGTTTTTTCAAACTTGTTTTTAAACGATTGGCCATTAAAACTGTACACATGAAATATATAAAGCAAATAGTGCATTTCTATTAAGTCGCAACCTCAAAAATCCTTCCAGCAGGAGGGAAATGGTGCATTAAAAGTCAAGACCTAAATCCAACCGGGTGGGGTCTGTTTATCTATTCCAAGACATTAAAAGTGCTATTTACGTCTATTATTTCATAAATAAATAGAACTGTGTGTTGTTCACATTTAATCCAGATAAACATATTAAAGGTATTTTGGAGGATTTTCACAAATTTTTTAAAAGATTCGTCCTCTCCACTTAAAAAAAATGCAAATGCACAATCCTGTACCCGTTCAAAGACTACTAAACGTGTGTGAAAGCATGCATGAGCCAGTTTCTCTTCGTGCACGCTCTTTTTAAAAGTTGCTGTTCTCATAGCTCATACAAGCTAACTGTGTCCAAACGTCCGCGCAACCCCTAAATCCCTCAATCACTATATAGAGCGGGGGCTATATAGTGGACTTAATAGCGAACTTAGTTAACTGACCGTTCAGACAGATGATCACTACTGGTTGCTCCCCGTTGGTCATGCAACTCCTCCTCCACTGTGTGGAGCTTGCCATCTTTGTTATTAGTCGCCCTTCTTGGGTAGTGACAGCCTATGGCGGCAGCGGGTCTTTGTGAAAGCAAATCCCACAATGCTTTGCGAGGAGAACTCTTCACGCAAAGCATTCCGGAATATATCTGTCTCTTCTGAGGCCTTTCTTTTCTTCTAATACACTTCATAGATACTTTTTCTCTTACGACCCTCAAGCATTTCAAATCAAACCTCGGTGGGAAAGGTGAACTTCAATGACTGTCTGAAACTGTAGCTAACCACACACACACCTGAAAGTGTGCATGCGCAGAAAAAGATAACTAATGGGCGAGCACATTGGACGGCATTACATAAACATATCACCAGAATAATTGACAATTAGGAGGACCACTTATTTAGATGATCCACCAGGAAATAACAGATCGTCTTCTATACCTTTAAAGTATCTGGTTCTATCGTTGTGTTCAGCTGTAAAACTTTGTAGTGTTTTTGCATCTAAAGCTAAAGTTGCAGATGGTGGGTATACAACCTTTATCAACAATTTTTTGTTTTTTTAAAGATGTCTCACCGGCGGGGAGAGCACTTTGGTGTCCAGCAGGTGAGTACAGACATCCTGGACAGGAGAGATTTCCAGGAGGCGTGCAGCAGCAAGGATGTCAGCAATACTGCTGTGACTGACAGTCAACGTCGCCGTGTAGGCGAAGTCCAGCAAAGCTCCCAGGGCCTCCGCTGGAACAAAGTCGATGTTGTAGATGTTCTGTTGGTCGGCGGCGATCCCCGAAGTGAAGAGTTTGTGGAAGTAAGAGCTGCAGGATGCGAGGACAGAGCGGTGAGCCGGAAACTCCTGGTCCTGGGTGACTAAGAGCACATCACAAAGGAGGCCGCTGAGCCGCTGCTTGTTCAGGCTGCCCAGGACGTCTGCGCTGTGTTCAGGGAAAGGGATCCCCACAGGACCTTCCTCTGCCTCTCCTGCTCCTCCTCGCCTTCCCCCGCCCCCAGTGCTTGTTATACCCCGGAGCCGCCTTCCTCCTCTCCCACCGGCCCCTGACGACATCTTCCACCAGCCTGCCGCCGAGCCGCCAAGCACAGCCCCCACCCGTGTATCCGTCCTGCCGTCTGTCTGTCTGCCTATCTGAAATAAAATAACAGATAGATAAAAGATTCATCAGTCAGTTTTTCATTTTTGGATAGGAAAGCGAGAGGAATATTGTTTGAATGGGACAGAAATCTGCAAAATTAGATCCACACATTACTAAACATTTTTAAAATTAAATAAAATCCAAGAACAAGGGAAATTAATCCAATCAAAGCATATAGGCAGTATTTATTACAACCTGGTTAAAACCTTAATAAACCAGCTGTGAGAAAGATCTACAAGGGATGAAGAAGCAAGGATGTAAATACAAACATTTTTGACATTTTGTTCATATTATCTTTATATGCTTTTTATTACCCTGCACAATATGCAGTTAAAGATACGGAAACAATAACTAATCTATTCATAATTAGAGATGCACTAACCACGCAGTTTGTGGCTTTTTTCTTCTCTCTAAGGACTATGGCAGCTAGATCGAAAATGAAAAAAGTCCTGAGAGTTATCTGTTAGAGGCCATAGGTCTGATTCAACAGAAATGTAAAGGATTAAAAGATAATCTCTCTATGTGCATCAAACCCTTATCTAATTTCTTTAACTCTGAAAATGGCCTCAAAATTAATCATTTGTTTGACACCAGATTTTTTTTTACATTAAACATCATTCAGGTATAATAACAGAGAAAAAATATAGAATTTCCCTAATACATTTTCTAATATTAAATGATTAATAATTTTTTAACTAACTCTTAAATATCCTAACATGTCATTCGTAATGACATGCTCCCTAATAATTCAACTTATGAAGTAGGCTTGAATCAAGATCTGTCCCCGTCTGACCTGAAACTGAACTTCAGTGTGAATATCTTACATATCGCTCCTTTCAGCCGGACTGGAGAGCCTTGAGACAAGAGTCTTCAAGCCATATGGTAACACCAAAGCTCTGCACCTCGTGACAGATTCTGATGTATTTTGAAAGAGGTAAAAAGAGACTACTCTTACTCTTACTAATGGCAAAACAGATAGATGACTAAGTGTGAAACATTAGTTACTTGCAGTGCATATGGGAAATGGGAGAATCATAAAGATATTTATGTATTTCATGTGTGCAGGTGGCTGGGTGCCTGTTTCCTTGCATACATGAATACATCTACGGAAGACATCAAGAAAGAGGTCGTGGAGGACAGATAAGCAGAGGGGATCAGAGTGCATGCTGGGAGCTGGGTTTGTGTAGCCTATGCACTCTATGACAGTTGAGAGTGAGGAAGGAAAGTGGAGGAACACGAAGAGAGAGGAGGGTTAGGGGATGTGGAGAAGCCTGCAAAGGGCAGACCCTGTGGAAAAAAAAAAGAAGAGAAAGAGTCGACAGGAGGAGGAAGAGAACGTACGGCGAGTGGGAAAGGAACAACATTAAAAAGGGAGGTTGTCAATCCGGTCTGAGCTAGTTACCCCACCCTGCACTGCGTGCCAAGTTTCGGAAAAGGCCTGTCCCCTCGCTCACGTGTGTTTTTCTGTGCATGTGTGTTTGGTGGGAATTAAAATAAATCGACTGAAGCTTAGGCAGTGGGGGGGGTGGGGGTGGGTTTGGGCAGAGCGGTCCATCCTCGATTTCTCAGTCACACGATTGAATACAGTAACATCAATAACACCAAAATCACACACATACAGAAACGCACACGACACCCACCCTGTCCAGCTCCCCTCCTCCCCCTCCCCTCGTCACCATCTGCCAGGCAGACCCAGCGGGGGGGGGCGAGGCTGAGCGGTTGTTGCGTTAAATGGTTTGTTCTCTACAAGCTTCAAATGACAAGATTCCTGGCGATCAATCCTCCTGGTATGTTCGAATGCTGCACCTCATCACCAAACCTGCCTAACCTGGCTGCCCCTCCTCTTTTAATAGAGTTTGCCCTCTTTCTTCAGCCCCATCCTCTGCCCTGTTATGCTTTGTTTTATCCTCTGTAAGGAAACACCTATCTGCGTCCCCACCTGTGATGTCAGACACTTCATAGTTCAATTTATCCTTCCCTCTGTGCGTAGGAGCCCATAAGGGCTGAGGAGGTGTGTCGCCTTCACATCAGTTCCTAATTGGGTCAAAGTTTGCTTAATTGAGCCAAAAGTAATAATGAAGATAACATTTAGATAAAAAGCTGTACGCTCAGAGGATAATGATAGAACAGTTTGCCCAGCTTTGCTAAGTGTGATTACCAGTAAAATGTCAGCCGACTTTAAGGCATCAGCTGGTTTCCAGTGTTCAGATGAACCAACTTTTGGCTTTAAAACCACTAAACTGCTACATCTTAATGATACTGCAGTTTAAAGTCCATTTAAAGTGACGCCAACATTAGAGTGATGACTACAGGTAGAGTTTGTTGTTGGGCAACAAATGACATCCGTTTGTTATTATTGTGTTGCTCTAGAAATGGCACAGCTTGTACAGGGGAATTATCTCAATCTTACAAAAATACAATAAAAAAAACAAAGTAATGAACAGGACCAGTTCTCCTGTCCTTTTTAAAAAGGAACTCTAGTTCATGATGTAGTAAGATTTTGATTATCACGTTGCCTGCTGTTGTAGTAAAGTGGCCTTTTTGGTGATGGTTTTATTTTCATGATAGTATTTGCTTTTAATGCTACTGATATGGGAACTCGGTCTGATATCAGCCAAGAACTGAATATCGGAATATATCCTCCTGCCTTTAAGATCCCCAATATCAGAAAACTCATAGATACACTTCACTTCTGTCTGCTTCAGTTTATGGTGAATAAGAAATGGGTCAGTTGATCTAATGTCTAATTTTATTAAGTATTGTTCTCTTTTTGATAAATATCACTTTAAAAAGCTTTCTCTATCATTCCATATTATAAAAAAGCAATAAAAGTGTATAATTAATGCAGATATCGTATTGGGTTGATATCCGTATCAGTCAATACTCAAAGCTGCGATATCAGTTTTGTATTGGAACCAAAAAAAATTTATCGGAACACCCATATTTGCTTTTGCTGGGTGTACGGAGTTATAGGTTTATGGTAATAAACAATAGGTACTATTTCAGATATTTCACTTTGATAATCCTCACAAGAAATAGCAACAAAATATCATAATAACACTATTTCCACACATACGCAGAAAGGAAAACCATCTGCAGAAAAAGCATGTTGACTTTAAAAGAAATGATTATAATAATAATGAACTTGATAAATAAAAGTTACACTTTGTCATAAATGTAAATGTGTTGGAATAAATGTTACCTTTTGTCTTTTTACAACATCTTTGCTTTAACCTTCAGTGTTAACTCTGATACAGTAAAGTGGGATGTTTTTAATCAAGGTTGTCGTCCCATGAGAACAGTGGCTGCACAGTTTGTCTTTGTGTCTCTTAAATCATATCATTGTGGGCAGTTGACCACATAGGGTCTGAGAAAACGGCCAATGATTCTAACAGAGCTCTACTCAAAGCAATTTGTCAGCCATGGCATAAGCTAATTTACTACCCCAACCCTCATCTGCATAAGTTAAGGGAGGAGAGAGAGATATGACACAGTAGGCAAAGAGAATGGGGTGAGATAGGAAGGAAGAGAAAAAGAAAGGGAATCCATATGGCTCCCTGTCGTGTCCTTTGCAGGTGGAAACAGATCTCTGAGAGCCGCATCCAGAGCCGAGCCGACCTGCTTTTCTTTAGCAGGGCAGCTCCACAGCACCTGCTCTGAACCAGGCTTTGCTGCAAGGCTGCGAACTGCGCTACTGTATCCCCCCCATTTGCCCAGAGTTGACCCCGGGTCATGGCTTTGCGAGGTAAAGACGTTGAGCTGACGAGGAGATAAAACTCACACAGGCACGAACATGCATGCGCACACACATAAAATCTGATTCAGAGCCACAGAAGGGACTGCTCTTCAAGCAGGAGCAACCTGTCCCTAAACAAACCTGCACAGAACACAGAGAAAGAGGAAACATGGAGCCACAAACCTGATCCTGACACCTCCTCATGGCTTGAAACATTCCTTATCACTAATTCATGCCTGTGGGTGACAAGGCCAGCAATCTAGCACAAAGCGGCAGCGCAGCTGTCCGTGTACGCTGTGTTCCACTTTCAGGGAAGGGCCCTCTCCTCAGTGATCGGGCCACGAGCGCCCGGGCCTGCTTTGCAAGTCAAACAACCGCCTCAACTTGAGGGCCGACCCATCCCATCTCCACCCTCATCTCATTCAGCTCTTCCGCAACATCTCTTCGCCCCCTCCCAAATATCCGTCCGACACTGTTGTGTAAGAGACGTTTCTGTTTTTCCAGGTTTTTTTTTTCTCCCCCTTTTTAATCAGTTGACCGAACACGACATGTATCAACATCTGCACAGAGACAGTTGGAGCCAATTTGCTTGTCGCAGACTGTCAAACTCATTAGAATCCAAATGAGGCGGGAGTTACCAGGAATGGTTTTTATTTAGGCTGACATGGATCGTTCTGTGGAACCTCTCGAAAATATCCGCGCTGGATGTCTCTCAATCTTTGCCTGACACATACCAGTCATTCTTAGATGCAAGCAAACAAACTGTTAACTGTGTGTAACCCAGATGTTTCGCACATAACGAAATAAACAGATTAGAAACATTTATAAAAAACTCACAACCAATCCCCCCCCCATTATCTTTCTCTTTTCACTTTCTAGTTCCTTAAATCTAATGAGAGAATCTATATAATGGCTAATACTAATTTAAGAAGTTAAAATATAGTGAAATGTGTCTATTTCAGAGAAGTACTAAATAGGCACAGGCCAGTCAGATATTCTCATGGTATGAAAGATACCAAAGTAACAAACTGATTACACATTTATAACAAAGAGCATGATCTAAATGGCAAAAACTGTTCCGACTGATGCTCTAATAAAATCTTTGACAAAATAAACGTGAAACAACAATTAAATTAGATCTTTTTTTCTTTTTTAGAAATTATTCATGAATTACAAAAGGTTTTCAGAGGCTTTTATGTTTGTATGAGTGTGGAGAAAATATGGAGACCTTTTCCCACGGATCTAGAAGGATCCACTATGAAGTGTGAGTAGTTGTACCCTGGGGTGTGTTTGTGTGTGTTGGATTTTGAGTAACTGCCACTGCTCAGTGACTCGTTGTTGGCCAAAGTGGAAGGAAACCTGATTTGCCGCGTTAGGAGCAAATCAGGAAATAGGCTAGGGTCTGATAAAACCTAAAGTTGCATGGGCTGGTCGAGGCTTGGCAGCTTTCACTAGAAACTAACCAGGAAGCACTGCCAAAACACAGAGCCAGTGAGAAGGCGGTGGGCGAGACGGGGAGTTAAACTTGCAGGCTCGCTCTCAACTTCAGAGCAAATTGGGGCCAAAGAATCTGTCTCAGATGTCAATGATAAACTCAGGATGAATTACTGTTAGACCTGGAATAACCTGCTACAGTAAGAGGAAAGGTAACCACATTCAGGCTGGGGGGGAGGACAGGGGCTGGTTGAGCAACAGCACAGGTGTCATACTGTTAAGCAGTAAAATGACTTTTCAACCCATTTGTAGAAACAAACATGCTCAAATAAACACCCTAGGACTCGTCTAAAAGTTGCAAGTTTGCTTTTTATAAGACAAACAAATAAAAATTAAGTTCAGAGGACTAAAAAAAGGTCTGGTTTGGGGCGGTTACCTACAAGAGATAGCACTAATGGCGTCATCATTAAGTTTAAATAGAGTTGGAAAGATGCCTAATAAGGACCAAAACCACAACGGATAGTAGTAAAAGCTATTTTAAGAACCTTTAAACTACTTTCATGTTTAAATTAAACAGCAATCCACGGAAATGCAGAGAGGAAATGGAGGTAGTGTGTCGATAATCTTTGTTTGTAACGAATAGAGCATGTAAAGCAATTCCAGCAAAAGTAACTATGTAATAAAAAGGAAAGCAGTATAAAAATGGGTGAAACAGCATCCAGTTAAACTGCTGTCATATGTTTAAATTTTACACCAGTGCACTTTTATTATCAGGCAATAACCGTGACTGGAAACACCTTAGATGTTCAATGCTCAGCAAATGCTTTCCTTGGGAAGATGTTTGCTTCTGCGCTGCCTCCAACTTTCATTCCTCTTGTAAATAATCATCAGCTTCTGTGTACAAAACGACTCAGTGCAAACGTCATGACAATTTAAAGGTTTATAAAACTGCAATCGACTAAGCCACAATGGAAGTTGTCCATGGTGTCCAAAGTCGGCTTTGGCCAGCCCTAATTCCAACTTTATAACCAACCAAACTGGAATAATACTAAAATAAGATGCTATACTGTTGGTAAAATCCCACCTGCCCATAAAGCTTTAAAGGAATTCCACTTGAGAACTTAAATAAAGGGGTATGTAGTGTTTTTCATACAGCTTTGGGGTTATTACAGGTGGAAACAGACATAATGAAACATAATTTGCTCCTTTTATGTTTTTTTTAAATGAAAGATTACACAGCAAACATGCATTACAGTTTTTGTCCTTTTCTCTTATAATTTCATATAATAACTTAGCATTTCTTGACAACCTGCTCATGTTGCAAAACACATGGCGCTAAGAAAGCTCCTGTCAAAAAGTTTCAGTGGTCAAGCAGTGAGCAATGGAAGCACAGCTCTACGCATGCCCAGCCGACAGGGAAGGAGGACTTCCTGTGAGCCTGTGGCAGGCGTGTAACAGAACCCGCTCTGTTATCAGATGACCAGCTCTTCTCTTGCTCTGTCTCCCTGTCCGTACTGTCTGACCCCCCCCCCCCCCCCCTTCTTTTCCTCTCATCTGTTGCTCTCATCTCATCATTGCTCCATCCCTGTCTCAGACTGTGAACTGCATAGTATCCACCACATCACCCACTTCCCCTTTCCACTGCTGAGGAGGCAAAGCTGTTCGGACCCACCCACCTCCCCATGTCTCGCCATACTTTAATGCAACCCACACATTGTCTTTCTCTTGTTTCACTGCAAACCAAGTAACTCCATCAGCGAGCAGACAGTGTCAGGCTGGTCCCATATCCGCCTCCCTTGGCCTCCCCACAGGCTTTATTCTCATTAAATCAATAATTGGGGGTGTTTTTTTGGTAAATATCGTAAACATCTCTACCTTCTATTTGAACATAAAGAAAAAAACAAGCATCCAACTCTAAAAATTCATATGATGGAGGTAGAGCCTTTGCTCCTTTTTGAAAACATCCCAGGCCTCACTCTCTTACTCTTAATTTGATCAGGTTGTGTTGAACTCTGCACAATAAATGTCCCAGAAGAGAACAGAAGAAGCCCCTTTACTGCCCCTGGTCTTCAGCATAACAACAGAAAAACAACAGAGAGGGGTCTGTCTGTCTAGCCAGGCTGGAAGCTGTGGTATATTAAGCAGCTGACCAGGGGAACCAAACATCATGGAGGGGAAGTGAAGCTGCATTCAATAAGAAAGAGGCAAATGAAACAACTCCAACTGTAACGTTTGAAAGCTTTATGAATGCCTTCATGTCAAAAAAAAGGCGGCATAAAATTCTCCTCTTAAAAAAACAACAACTATCTACTGTAGAAAGCCATTTTAACACATGGATAAACCTTTAAACAAACAATATGACAGCTACATGTATCCTACTTTATACTGCCAGCTTTTTATTCTGAAAGAAAGCCTCAAACTGCCACGGCGACATCACACAACCTGTCCTCTCGGTCTGCCTGAACCTGCTAGTTTTGGGCCATCGTGGTGCAGGCACAAACATACAGGAATATCAAACTGTATTCAGCCTCACCGCCAAATTGATGGGTGGTGTCTTGGACCTGCCCACAGTCACTGAAGTCCCCTGCAATTCCTCTGGAGTCTATTGTTGGTAACACAGACGCGCACGTACGTACACACGCACTCACGCATACAAACACATATGGCGTCCTAGTTTAACCTCTTGCTGGAATTCACTAGAAATAACCACGCACTTCATCCATAGGGTAAAGCACATACAGAGGACTGTATTCACAGTAGCTAGTCTATTTTGTGAGCCTGAAATGAACAAGAAAAAGTGCTGAACTTCATTTACAGCAGCAGTGCAAAAAAGGTTCTCATAAAATGGGCGTACAGTGCTCTTCACTTACCCTCTCCATGCCCACACATTTGTAAGAACGGGTTCGACAAGTATGCAAAGCCAAAAAAGAAAAAGGAAAAAAAAAAAGCATCTGGTTATCGAGGAAGACAGTGAGGGTTGCTGTGAAGTTTTGAAACCACTGGCTAAAAAAGCAAGTGTTACATGGCGGCAAAAGAAATTACAATCTGCTTTAAACAAGATGCTGGCGAGGATGGGAGAGATGAGCGGTAAAGAGTGAAGGCATGTCATGAGATTGAGCATGGTTTGAACGACTGAAATCAATCTGTGAACACTAATGCTCTTTGGGGATGGTAACACAAAGTTCCCAGAGCTTAAGTTTTGCAATAATATTGCCCAGACTCAGTCGAAGCAATCTGCTCTGCTGGAAGGAGGGGGGGGGGGGGGGGGGGGGGGGGGGGGGTTCAGCTGTCACAAGATGTCACCTGTTCTCCGCCTCATTAAGGCGAGATGCCGCTTTAGTTTAGTTTCTAAAACTATTACTCAACACCTGTGTCCCTGGAGCTATCAGGTGCAGCTCAGCCAAGTATCTCCCTCTGGCTTACCCCTCAAGAAGCAGAGGTACAGTATATGCAAATAACATTAGAAACAGATCTATTTAACTGAGCACATCTTAACAGAATCAAGACAACACATAAAGAATTCAATGTCCAAAGTTAAGAAAGCCAACTTTAACAGATAATCAATGTAGCACCTGACCCCTCAACTCCTGCTCTGCCTTCAAGCGGGTCAAGAACTCTGAGGTCTGTTAAGACACATTGGTGTTTACCTCCCATGCTTGCCTCCCATCTCATCTAAATCCCAGCCTAAAGACATAGTGTGTGTGTGGATGTCTTTGTTATGCTCACCAAATAGGCAGAAAATGTTTCTCGGGACCTCTTTGCCTTCCCCTGCTTTGCCGGCCAGCTCTGCTGCCTGTGTCTCTGGGCAGGGCTAGAGCATTACCAGGCAGGAAACTTGTGAGTGGCCCTAGTCATACAGGCAAGCCCTTGCCTGATCCCACACAGACACCTACCCGCCCCCATCCCATCCACCACCACCCTCTATTTTCAGCCCACAACTCTGCTCCTGCATCCCCTCACTTCATTGGCTTCACAGCGGCTCACTCACCACACCTCCTCGCAGAGATAGGCTGACGGCAGTTCCCTTTCCTCCATGGCCGAGGGCAAGGCACTCTGGGATATGGAGGCTGAAACCCAATGTCACCTGGTTCCCACAGCCCCAGCTGCGGACTACGAGTCCCAGCTTCCCTCTCTGCCCTCACCACCCCCACTATCTCCAAGCCTGCTCTAACGTAAGCAACCCAGGGCTGAATTATACACTACAGTGTGTTGCTAGAAGCCTGCAATGTATTAAAGTACAGAGCAGCCATCAAACAGGGCAGAGCACTGTGGGAGGAAAAAACAAAACAAATTTCAGCCCAGACTGTCAGGACAGCACTGAAACATCGGCCGCACGCTCTTTCATCAGCTCAGTGCTCTTGGGTCGTTCAGACACACTTGAAACTCCTGACCTAAATTGACTCACCCCTCCTCTAAACAACCCAATGCCACCCAGACATGCTTTGCACATCCAGCACACCCTGCAATGAGTGCCTGTCCCTGTAATGTCCTGTAAACTTGCTGCCACTGCTTGTAGCTAGTTCAGTACCATTATTTTTTTGCTTCCTCCTTCTCCTCTGACACCTCCCTCCCTCCTCCTCTTCCTCCTCTAAGTGCTTCCACCTGCCTGAAAAGTTCATGTTTTGATCACGTCCTATGAACTTTATCACAAGATTCTTCAGAGGTAAACAGCTCTACAGAGGACATATCTAAGGGAAATTTTAAAAAAAATGGAACCTTGACTAGGGGCTGCTGCTGCTGCAACCCACCTCACCTCTCTGGTCACCCCCCCCCCCCCCCCCCCCCCCAACCCTGCTCTCCATTCTGGCTCCCCTCCCTCAGTCCTCCCTCTCTCCTCTGCCTGCTCCCACCCCCCTGAGCTCGACAGGCCCAGGGCAGGCAGAGGAGGGGATGACAGGTCGCCTTCAGCTCACCTGTGATGGCCGTGATGGTGCTTGTTGTGGGTATCTCAGCCCTCTCCTCTCCTCCTCTCCAGAGCTCTCTATCTCCCTCTCACTGTGGTGCAGCTTAAAGCCCCTGTATGCGCTAACCAAGCAGCAGCAGATCAACTCAATTCCCTTCCTGGTTTCTGGAGGGCAAAGAGGTCCCTCCCTTTTCTCTCTCTTTCTCTCACACACACTCACACACACACTCTCTCTCTCTTAAAGACACAGTACCCTCTGTCTCCCCCCTCCTCCTCCTCCTCCCCCTGCCAAGATGAAAGTAAGGTGGGAAACACTTAGTACTGAAAAGCAGGCAGTTGTCATAATCCTAAATTGAACCAGATTTTGACACAAATCATTAACCCCTGCCTGCCCAGTGGGTTCTTCCACTGGGACTGTCATCTGCTCTAATCTGACATTTGTCTATGGACTCTGGGGTTAAAACTGAGTGTGACTCCTCTCTACTCCTATGCAAGTCGCACCCACCCATTCAATCGCCTGAGGTCATAATGTCCCACCCTGAAAGCAAGCCCTGGCACATTCCAGCACACACATACACACACACACAGCAGGGGCTGCCAGCAGCCCCCTCAATACACACCCTCTGTTCAGATTACCTGCAAAGCTCCACCAGGTGAGGACATTACAGAGCTGAGATCTTCCCCGCATGCTGCGGTTAGATGTGAATTCCCATGTGTGCACGTTCTTCCCATTGCACCACTTCCAAAATGCCCACCAGCACACCCACTCAGTGAGTGTAAGCCAGCCATTGTGCCATGCAGTGAGTTGGAGAGCAAAAATGTTGAGTTGCTTCGGAGCCACTGCTGGGAGGTTACTGATTATATATAATCAGTACTATGTAATCAGATTACTAAAGTAATTATGTTTAACCAGATTACATATGAAAGATATGTAATTAGACTAATAATATCCTGCATTCCTGATTAGATCTGCTATAAATACAATTTTACAACTCACCTGAGCACAATTATGCATACCTGTAATTACAGGGATAGGTTGGTTAAATTAGAGCAAGTTTTTAATCTTCAATAAATCATCAAATAAGATTTTTTTTACTTGGAATATGTCTATAACAGTAAATTGTTTCTTTATTTTTTAAGTGTATGATTGAAAAACTTTTCCTATTCTAAGGTTTTATGATTTTATAAAATATATATATATATTTTTAATCTATCAACTGATTTAAATAATCTAATTTTAAAGAAACGTTATTTATATTGCATATCAAATAATGACATTTTCAAAGTTATTTCACTTTAAAATAATAATTTAATGTTTAAACTGTATTATGCAGCCTGTTAAAAAATTAAAAATTGAATAAATCACCTAATACTAATCTATTTACGAATACAAATATAGAATATATAACAAGGCTGAGATCGAAATAAACAATATCAGGGCAGAGTCAGATCAAAAAATACAAAAAAATGTATTCTAGTAAATATTTGACTTAAACTCTAATAACTGGGATTCATATTTTCAGCTTACAAATGACTTGTTTTTAATTTGTATTGATCACTAAAGAGTGTGTTTAATAAATTTCAATAATTCGAATATTAACATGATCTGTACAAAAATGAGATGGATTTTCCTGGCTGCATAACATCTGGACATTAACACACACAAGCAAAGGTAATAATGTTTGCTGGTGCTGATTCTTGTGTAAAACTTTCCATGAACACTTACTGTGGGAAAAAATGTGGTAAATAGAAGTGTCTAACTTCATAGACACCAATTAGCAGCTTAAAACAAATTGGTCTCCTGTCTCTTCACCTTCCCAACACGCTCTGTGTCTCACAAGAAAATGCTACAAACATCAAAACCTCTGCTAATCATCAACAAACTTGAAGTATCTTCATACTTCTTACAACTTACTACTACTTAGAAAAAAAATAGTATGATCTGGGTCATTTGACAGTGAAGCAGGTACGTTATCTGACATGTTTATTTTAAAACTGGAGGTCAGAATGAGCCAGCCACTGACTGGTACGCAGGGGAAGCACTGTATATTTAGTGTAAATTAGGGATGCAAGTTATTGATTAATGAAATAATCTCAAGTTGATTGACCTTATCCATTGACTAATAATTAATTGATAAGCAGCTATTTTGCTATAAACCTGACTTTTCTATCTTATCAAGAGCATCTTTCCATAACAAAAGCTCTAAATTGGAAAAAAAAATAGCATATCATTATATTTGAACAATTTAATTTATCGTGCCATCTGTTGTAAATACTGACTGAATAAACAAAACACATTAATACACTTATATATATGGAATAAAAAAACTAATTGAAAAAAAATGAAAGACTTATGATTTCCAATCCACATGAACTTAATATTATCAATAATATACAGGAAATGTCAATCTGACATGCTGTCAGACTATTAGCCACATAGTTTCAATGAGGTGGACGCTGATTCTTTAAGTGTTCATCTCATTTCTATTCTCAATAACGCATTTTTTGCACAAATGCCTATCTGCACTGAACCATTGCAATTTGCACACTGTCTTTATCCTCTGCACTGTTTTACACTTTGACCACTGCTGCACTTTTTGTATAACTCATACCATTTTGCAATATCAATGCAATGTTCATAAGCTGTATGTAACGCAATTTCGTTCTGTATGCACTCTGTGCATACAAAATGACAAATAAAGAAGTCTAAGTCTAAGTCTAAGAGTGTAATCGAGCTATCGACGGTTCCTCTTGCTCTCTCAGGTTAAAGCTTGGATGTATAAAAGTGAATTAACTCACAGAAGCGTTTTTCAGGCTTATTGCAGGCAATTCTTTAACTATGATGTTACAAATGTGTCACGTACTACCCTCCATTTTTATTTTATTCTAACATTGTCCCCTTTCAACCACAGCAGAGAAGCTGATGCTGCTCCGCCATGCAGCACTGTCTAACAGGTGCTATTTAGGTGACAATTTAAGGAGGTCGTCCAGTTTTTAGATTTACAAACAGAATCACATAAAGAACGTTCTTCATCCTTGTTGCCTAGCTGCCTATGCCTGGCTAGTCTAAACTATCCCCGGCCCCAAAGCGGACCGCATGCGCCGATGGACACGATATGAACATAGGCATTTCCTCTACTCCGGTGTAGGTACCGGATCTGCTCGGGCCCTGCACATGCCATTGACGTTACACTATATGATACCACAATGACGTAAGACATTGTGTTGCTCAGACACCAATAGTATCGTAACGTAGCATCCGTGTGACGAGTCAGGAGCATCTGTTAGCCTCTTTTACTTCAGTTAACAACCTGTATTAAGCTATGCTAATTTTATTTGCAACAACTGTTTATTTCTACAAGTAGAATGACATTTTTTTTCTTTGTCTAAAATCTCCAGAAGGTGATTTTTTTTTTTTAAAGATGCTCCATTTGGCCCCCCTCTGTCCTCAGATCTTAATAAAAAAAAGTACTGAGAATTTTAGTGTCCCCTTCCTAAATGGCAGGGCTCAGTCTGTCTTAGAACGCAGTCCTTGCCTTCAAAACGGAGAATGATTGTTTTCTACTTTAGGCTACCTTAGGTCACCAAAGAAACGTAAAACAATAGCAAACTCCAGAAGAGATTTGATTCTTAAGAAATAGGTGCAACACAGTTTGTCTGGGTGCTCTTGCGATGTAATCAGTAGGGAGGGGGCCTCAAGCAGATCTGGCCACCTACATCGGCATTACTTTTCTTGCAATACCAGTGATGCTCTGCTTAAGAATCGATATCGGCCCCCTCTAGTGGATGGCAGTACCTTTCAACACTGAAAGAAATTCCTTTTAAGGGATGTTATCGATTAATTGCATGGAACAAATTTTAATCTAACAAAACCATTAATTGACTATGTTCAGTTGATTGTTTATTTACATCCCTAGTTTAAATATTTAAATTGAATTCTAAAAGATACATTTAATAAAACTGTGTTCAAGTAATATTGATGTTGACAGATTTTCAAAGCCGATGGAATTATTATTATTTATATTATCAATCAAAAACATTGATAAGCCGGGGACTAGTTCAAACCTAGAAAAGAAAACGCTTCTCCTGCAGTAATAAACAAATATACGACGTGGCGGGTAATGAATTTAGAACAGAAGTCAGATGAGAAATAAAACACAACAACCAGCTAAAAAAGGAACCTTTCAAGTATATTTCATTTTAATCATTTTGATTAGATGAGCTACAAGTGCTCAAAACAGACAAACAAAATGTACTTTCTGTATTATATGATATATATATATATATATTTTAATGTCTGTGTGTGTGTGTGATACAAATGGTGTTGTAGCATTATTCTGAGAAATTTAGTTTTAGAATTAATGAAGGATAAAGAAATTCCACTTCTCAGTAATAAAATAAACCCTCATAATTATGCAACTCACCATATTTCTTTAAATTACATTATTAAATACTGTTTTCCACCTTTAACTCTAGTGGCACCATAGTGTGAAACATTTGCACAGGTGCAGTGACAGCCTTTCTGCCTAGAGGGCACTATAGAGCACAGTTCCTGCAACGATTAAGCACGTGTGATAGAGAGAAAAGGGAGGCGGGGGTGTTTGGGGTGGACAGTTTTATGGCAGTTCTGCCATTCAGACCAATATAGGGTGGTCTGCTTTCACTCCCAGACATCACACATCTATTCTGCCTTTCTCATTACTGAGTGAATGATGCTTCAGTAGTTTCTGGTCAAGAAACAGCAGTTTGCAATAAGAAAACACTAAATAAATACTGATGAGGAATAACATTATGGCTACCTGATTATGCTGCCCTCCTGACCCATTGAGAAATTGACTCCACTAGATCCCTTAAGGTGTGCTGTAGAATCTGGCACCTAGATGTTAGCCGCAAATCTTTTAATCCTTTAAGATAGGAAGTAAAACCTCCAAGGATTTGTTTATTTGAGCTTGTTTTTCCAAATCATCCCACATATGTTTGACTGGGTTAGGACCTGTAGAATCTGAAGTCCTAAAATAACATTCCTGATGTTTCTTTTATTTTATTTATTGCAGCAGGATGCATTATCCTGGTGTAAGAGACCAGGGCAATCAGGAATGGCCTTGGCACCCTAACTGGCCTGCAGCTATGCCCGCGGTTCTCAAAGTGTGTGGCGCGACCCACTGGTGGGGAATTGAGACGTGACAGGTGGGGCGCGCCAAGTTCCGGTGTGTGTGTGTGTGTGTGTGTGTGTGTGTTGTGTGACTATAAATGTAGAACGTGTGAGAGCAAACTGTCCTTATAGCTGTATGTTGCCGCTTTTTAGACCAATCAAACCCACAAAGTAATCATTACTAGCCTACATGCAGTCTAATTAAAAGAACATTAGATATGAGAAACATTTCACCTGGAACTGAAGTGCCAAAATAATTATTGACGTGACGTCGGCATATTATTTGTAACGGAATAAACTTTCGCGCCCCAGTGTTGCCAACTCAGCGACTTTGTCGCTATATTTCAGACCCCTCCAGCGACTCTTTTTCAAAAAAGCGACTAGCGACAAATCTAGCGACTTTTGGAGACTCTTACGTGAAAGCACGTATCGTTCCTTTTCTTGTCCTCCAGCGGCAGGTGCTGCCGTGGGGCGCCTCCTCCGTCCCAACCCCGTTCTCCCCCGCTATCGCAGGAGTCCCTCTCAGCGCTGCAGTCAGAGACACAGCATGTTTAACTTTAGCGTCCAGACTGCAAATAAAGCGCACATGCGCCGGGATTGACGGCGCAGGTTGATCATAAATAACTGAATTTGAAATATTTTATTAGTTTATTATGCAATGAAAAATAAAGTAAGTCTATTTTTTCCTATTCTGTCTGCAGCACCTGCTGATTTTAGGTCTGCTGAGGAGGACCAGTTTATTGAAATGACGTCTGACTCCACCCTGAAGCTCAGGTTTAATGCTCAGACTAATAGTGAATTCTGGTTAGGAGTGGAGAGGGAGTATCCACTCATCGGGCAGAGAGCTGTGTGCATTCTTCTTCCCTTTGCCACATCATATCTCTGTGAGATGGGCTTTTCAGCTGTTGCTTCAATGAAAACAAAATACAGATCTCAGCTGAACATTGAGCATGACTTGAGAGTGGCAGTATCAAGCCTGCAACCCCGTTTTGAGAAACTGTGCAATGCAAAACAGGCTCATTGCAGCCACTAATGCAGGGATAAATAGACCTGTATTGCCAGATGGATTTCACTTCTTTTCTTTTATTAACAGATTGCAGAGTGCCACTTTAATTTTTTCTATCTTTGAGCTTGATACAAATTTTGACACAGCTGCATTTTTATTTTCTTTATTTTTTAGCTTGCTGTTATTTGATGTAGATAGTTTGTATTTAGATACTACTTGTTACTTCAGTAAAATTGGAACATTTTAAGATTGTTGCATATTTCATTAGCATTGTGTTGGGGCGATGGGGACAGGCGGGGCTTGAAAATTCCCCCTTGTCCAAAGTGGGGAATGACAGAAAAAGTTTGAGAACCACTGAGCTATGCATTCCCACCACAAACTAACTTGAGTTTTAAGAGTTTATCTTTCAGACAAGTGAAGAGGCACATAATCTAAATCACCTGAATAAAACTGTGAGGTTTCTAGTTAGTTTGATCTGCTCACAGCTTACACTGCCAAATGTACCAATACTGGTTAAACAGGAGCACTAAGGGGTGTAAATCACTCCCATCATGGCGTTTCGATTCAGTATCAATTTCCCGACCCAACGATTCCATTATTTTCGATAATAAAGAATACACCACGATACGATTTGATTAATTGGTTACATTTTTTTTTTTACCTTACAGGCTAGAGAATGTTTCAGATTGGAAATAAATCAATGAAAGCTGTAATATCATTATGCATTTTATTTGAGAAACAGCAGCAAATAACAAAAGTAGCAAAGTTGTACTCCACCTAGGCCTATGAAAACCTCATTCACTTACGGAACCCGCATGGGGTGTGCAAGTCATCTTCTTTTTCCTCTGCCACGTCTGTTTTAGAGGTTTTAGAGGTTAGTGGCTAAAGGAAGCGAGGCAGGAGGGCAAAATAGGTTTAGCGCCACTGCAGCATTGGGAGTCAGAATTACATCTGGGAGCAAATGGATAAAAATAGACCAGAGGAAAAAAACAACAACAAATGAATCGATACTCTTGCGGACGTGTCGATGCATCGGATTGTCGCTGTTGGATCGATGCGTCGATACAAAATGATTATTATATACACCTCTAGTAGCACTGTGCTTAACTGGCCAGGGAATCACCTGACCTGAACTAAACCGGTAATTCACTGGAAGAAAAGACACCACAGATATTTATGCTGGTGAGCTGAGCTATTAATTCAGGCTGGGCCTTAGCTCAGCTGCAGGCCCATTGCCTCCTACAGAGCCCCAGGTTAATATATACTCTAAATACTATACCATACTTTTACATTTTCAGAAAGCCCATATTTACATAGTAAAAATATATTTTGATTTGCCCTTTAACCTCTTGCTAATTTGAAATACCCCCCCCCCCACACACACACACAACACAAGCATTTTTAAGTAAATGTAATAAAGGTGTTATAATCAATGTGATGTATAATTAATGCTACCTTAATTAATGTGGTTCCAATTGAGTCAATCCCATGTTGCTGATATGCTGATCATCAGCTTTCGTTTTGTTATGCATTGGTTCCTGTTTAGTCATACAAACCACTCTAAGCAAACCAGAGTCAATGTTGTCAATCAAGTTCGTTCAGTTGGTTTTCACTGGAAACTAAAACGCTCCAGGCTAAGTTCAAACTTTTTACATGTGCGTACTTAACATTTGGCACGAAAACTTATAATCAGCACAATGTTCAACACATTCGCTTATGCATTTCAAAAAAACAAAAGGTTTATTCAAAGTTGGCTAGCTGCTGTCCTTGGCACCATTTAGTTGCTATGGTAATTGCCTGGGGATCCCGGAAGTATGTTAACATACCGTACAGACAAGCACTATCTTTTAGCTGGAATTTGTTTAATATTTTGGATAGAAAAAAAAAATCTGCTTCATACCAACTCTTATATTCCTTACACAATATGGTAAAACAATAATTTAAATTAAAATAATTATTACGGTCTGATCATTTGTTAAATTCTTACATGACATTTAGCATACAGATGTTGCAGTAAAATGTATTCAATACATTTTACTGCATATATGTTGAATTTAAAGAAAAGGCTACAAATATACCTTTTATACTGCATTTGCTCTCCAAATTAACTTTTCTTTTACAGAAACCCTAAAAAAAAAAAAAAGGATTTAATTTCAATTCTACACGTGTGTGCACGTGTTTTATCAGAGTTTTTACCATTTTTATATTAAAGTCAATGTATATTCTCTCCATTTCAACCACGTTTGAAATACATTTTACAATTAATCCTTAAAGTTTTTCTTATTCTTGTATCCTTTAAATTGTTTAGTTTTGTCTCTGGGGTATTCCTCATTTCTTACTACTTTCTCAGCTTTATGTTTCAATATTTCTACCAGTTTCTTATTTCAGTCACGTGGCAAATAATATATTCTTTTGGTGTGAATGTGGTCTACTTGTTGCATGAACTTATGTAGAGCACTTTGTCATAACTGATTGTATAAACTGTACTCCACGAACATAATCTAATTCAGTGATTATTACCGTCACAATAATTAGCTAATAATGTAGTTATAAGCTTAAACTAAGCACGGCTCATCCTGGCATCATAAAACAACTCTCTGGAGTGAAAGAAAGATGAGTGCTGCCATCTTTGGGAAGTAGATCTTTTGAAAGATGCACTAAAAAAATTAAAATGAGTTGCAACAATCCCTTCAAAGTCTGCAGTGTGGCTGTCTGATCAGCGCCTAATAAAAACCTGAGTGCGATACTTCCGTTTGTGTTGTGAGCATTTTTACTCATCTGCAGCATAAATGTCTTTAAAAACCAGTTAGGTCTTTGTAAGTTTAAAAATACTCAAGAAATTGTGTATATTTTTTTCCATCTAGTACACTTGCATACCGATTTTTGTCCAATATTTAGGTTTTAATCTTCATTTTCACATATTTCAGGTTTCTAACCATTGTTTTAATTCATCCTGATGGTGGAAAATAGCACCTAGCCTCTAAAGCAGAAAATGTAAATCTATCTGACTGGGGTTTACAGAAAATGTACTCCAATATCACTTTCTTCAAAAAAAATAAAATAAAATGCATGCTGTACATTCACAAATAGCTTTTATTTCAATAGTTTTATACATTATAACCATTTCAAACACATTTTTTTATATTATAATAAAATGACTCTTCTTGTCATTTACATAAAATCAAAAATTTGTATATTAAGACTGCAAAATAGTACTCATGTAATTTTGTTTATAGCTTTGTACACGTACAAGTGACGAGGCATCCATTTCCTTTTAAGAATGCGCATTTTGAATGGGAGGAGTAGAAAGGGCAGCCATAAGCAGAGAGAATACAGGAGCTCTAGCAAGACAGCAGGCTAGCATGTAACACCACCATGTAACCAAAACTGACCTGGGTTAAAATCTAGAACCGTTTGTACCCTTTGACAGATCTGATGCACTGTGAGGCTGTGTTTGTTTTGAAAACAAAAAAAAAAAGCCTCAAAAAGGTGCATTTCAAAAGCATTTTAACCCAAGTCTTTTTTGCAAGCAAGGCTTTAAATAGTGTTGTCCCAAGTTCAAACTTGGAGCGCCACATCTAGCAGTTTACTGGAAATGTAACCCCAGAAAAAAAACCATTGAGGAAAAGGTATAGAACAAAGAGGAAAAAAAACAAGATCATTCAATGAGATTGAAACCTTATACTGACACAGAAGGAACTGAGGCTTGCTTAACAAATATCAGCTCATCCCCACCATGATCTTGAGAACACATACAATCATTAAAAAGCTAAATCATGCTATATCAACTCGAGAAAATGCCTTTATCCTCTTTATCTTTAATGTCAAGAAAGACATATTGGCAACTATCAGGCTTCCAGAGGATATGCCTCATCTCTTGTTAGACAAACAGGAGATGTAAAAAATGTTCACTAAGGAAAAAAACCCAAACACATGGTTGTGTGTCAGTAACTGAAAGAAACAGAGAACCTACTTAATTACTCTGACTTTCTGCTGAAGAATTTAAATGGTGACCAGCCATTAAAGCAATAAGTAGTCACGAGTACCCTCTTTGGTTTGGGACACACTTCACAAAATGATCTTTTGAACGATTGACTTGCCAAAAAGTGAAAACTACTCCAGTAGGTGTCCATTTTACTTGAAATGCTCTCTTATTGATTATTACAGTGGAGGCGATTGGAAGGTCTCTGCCAGAAAAAAAAGGTGTTCTTCTGTAACAGAGGCATTTCTTATTAATTAAACGTAAAGTCCTCAAAAAAGATTGCGCGTTACATTTCCTTTTGACTTTTAGCCCATCGTTTCTCCTTTTACAGCAGGTTAATAAAATACAGCCCCAGGAGCCACCATAGAAAAGATTAATACAGAATATTCAACAATACAAAATAAGTTTGCCACTGCGAATTCTGATGACACTACAGCAGCCCTTCAGTGCTTTACATCCTCTGCAGCGGTATGAAAACGTGAGCGGAGGTTGCGCTCTACACTGTCACGGTGAAGCTGTGGCCTTACAGTACAAGAGAGAATCAACAGACTCGGCAGCTGTTGATGAAATAAACGAAGGGAAGCTACAAATATTTTACCCAAGAGCAAGACAAAAAAAAATTTAAAAAAAGAAAAAGTGCCAGCATGTGTGGTGGATTGTGTACATGAATGCATATGCAGAGAGACACTAGAAGTGTGTCGGGAGTAAGGAAGGGTATTTTTTTTTTTTTTGGGTGGTGGTGGGTGAGGGGCCAAATCACTCAGTGGTGCGAGTAGGAGTACTAGGCTGGTGAAGGTTCATGGTTTTGCACAACCAGCCGGCAAAGTCCACTTCCTCCACTTCCGATCGCTTGATAAATGTGTGATTCTGAAAACAAAAAGAGAAACTTCTGTTTGCAACATTTACTGTCAACACAGAGGAAGGAATAACCCAGAGATGAACAAAGGTAGCATACACACCATCAGCATCTTCAGGTCTGCCCTTTCTGCTGGGTTTTTAATCAGGCTGCAAACACAGAAAGACAAAAAAATCCTAACATTTATACATTTCCAGATTTCATACATACAGTGCTTTGAAAATCTCTTTATATTCAGTGAAAACCTATCGCTGCAAATCACATTAAACATTAGGGTGTGTGATTAGACATCCTGGGAATTAGACCAAACATACAACCAGAGTCACCATCGAGTGATTAAACTCACTGCTTATTTCTATGCACTGCAAAAAAATTGATATCTAAATAAGTCTTTTTTTAAATAAGTGTATATTTTCTTAAATTTTCTTAAAATGGAATAGGACAATTTACATTTAAAATAAGAAAAAAAATCTGCAGTCTTTTATTTCAAGTGGTTAATATGCATTTAATCATCTTACTTTATATTTTATTTGCATATCTTTTTATGTACAGACCTGAATTAAGGGAAAATACATGCATTTTAAGATATCTTATTCATTTCTAAATAGTATTTCAGCTTCTCAAAAAGTCATTTGACAAGCTGTGTCTGGAACAGTTATGCAACCTTTTGTCCTGTAAAACTCAAAAAGGTTTCTGGGTTGAGTGGGACAAAATATGAGGAACTTTAAATGAATAAATACTTTTAAAACTTCCAATATCCGATAACCTGCAACATATTAACTGGTTGCAAAATTTGAGCTCGACTGAAATGAACTCAGATTTTCCAGCTATATACTATCGACAAAGCAATCAGGGCTGCTTGTTTCTTGGTCTCACCATTTTGTCACAAAGTCCTGGAAGTCACTGGTAAAGACACCATGTGGGAGTTTAGGAGGGGGCTGTGGAGATAGCAAGTAAAAAAAAAAAAAAAGAAATTTCAGAAGAATTAAAACAAAACATTTTTTAAATATGATCAGATATTTTTTAAACCTCATTCACGATGTAGTCCAAAAGTTCAAAGATAGCCATGGCAGGTCTACTGTCCATCCCATGTCCTGTAAAGGGTTGCAAGTGGTAAAATAAAAAATTACATTTTGAAAACCAAAAAATCATTTTGATAACACACATTTGTATGGAATCTTATTGATAATAAATAAAAACCGTCGTACCGCTTACAGGCCTGCCCGGTGGTCTGGGTCTAGCCATGTTGGTGTGAGGTTCTCCCTCTGCCCCGTCCATGATGGCACGTCCAAAAATGGCCTCCAGCTCCCTGGCGTCTGGTGGGGGGATGGGGTAGCGGCCGATCGCCAGCTCCACCAAGGACAGGCCCATGCTCCACACGTCAGACTGAACTGAATAGTGGGTGCCCTGCAGTCTCTCCGGCTGTTGAGAAACACAACGACGTCAGAGAGACAAGGTAGAGCCAAGACACCGGGGGAAGGCGAGAGTGTTGGGCAAGGGGCTGAGGAGAGACAGGAAGCAGAGGAGAGGAGTGGGGAGGGAAGTGGCTGAAGGGATGGAGTGACAAGAAGGGGTGGGGTGTGGAAAAAAAGACAAAGAGTGAAAGGGTTTGGCAGGAGGGGGAAAGTTTTACAATGTTTGAGTTGGAAGAGTATCCAAGCCCAGGTGAGGGTTGAACATAAGTGAAAAACAACAAACTGCAGATCAATGATGCTCTATAGAAAAATGATGTGACTGGAAACACAAGTACACCATAGTGCTTCCTCTCAGGTATCTCAGATTGCCTGGGGAGACGGACAAGAAAGTGCAGGCACACATTCACTGCCAAAGAGCTCTTTCCTGGGCACAGCCCTCTCCTCTTGGCAAGAGGGATTAAGAGGGAGTGAGGGGAAAAGAGGGCGGGCCTGAGAGGAATGGAGAGGGAAAGTGGGGATAGGGCCAGAGGAAAAAAGGGGTGGGGGCGCAGGCGTGCAAAGCTGACTCACCGACATGTAGGAGCGTGTTCCAACAAAGGAGTTGGCCATGGAATCTATGAGCTGGCCGCTCACGCCAAAGTCACACAGCTTGATCTCCCCACGGGAGTTGACCAGGATGTTGGAGGGTTTCACGTCTACAGCAGAAGGAACAAGACAAACAAACAAACACAAATGCTTTAGATTTTGAGGATCCCACCCACACCTTAGTCTAACATTCCTCACATTCCCATGTGCCATGAGAGGCATATGAGTTACATCAATAGAGATTAGAGCACTGTTTTCACAACCCATCTCTTCAAAAATGTTGTCTGTAGTTTAAAGTACAAATAGTTGATGTTAAAAGTATTTATCCGTCTCTACTGAGGTTTGGTGTGATAGAGCAGTGAAGTGGCATTAAGTTTAATTTTTAAATTATATTTAAAAAAAAGTTTGGTTTCCATTTCTAATGTGCCTAATTTACTCTGGCAGTCTTATTTTAGGTTACCAATCTATGCAACTGCAGCTTTTTTGTAAAAGTGGTGTTAGAGAACATTAGTGATCAAAACACTTCATCCAGACGGAAGATTCAGGAGATATTTAAAGGACAACGGGTTTCTAAGACCGTTACATGAGTTTAAAACCTGACCTGAAAACACTTCAGTCCAATATATAAATGCAACACCTCTGGCAAGGAGAGCATAACCTAGAGAAGCAGCAGTGCTCAGGTGAAGGAATGAGGATAGGAGCTAAACATGGGGAAGTCATGGAACAGACCTGATGGAGGCTACAAAGGACCTGAGAGGAGAGGGTGGATGGTCACCTTCTAGATACAAGACACCAAACATAAGCTTGGGAAAAAAAAGGAAATGTATTACTTTCAAAGAGTTTCTGCATCATTATGATGCAGAGCAAGTCCAAACTGTTTAAAGAAATGAAAACTGTGTAAATCTGATCTTTAACATTTTCAGCAGGAGGAGCAATGAACAGGTTACCTAAAAAGATTGGACTCATTTTAAGGATAAAATAACATCTGTATACTTTTCCTTCCAGTTTACATCCTTGTAAAAGTACAAATCATATCAACACCCCCAAAAAAAATAACTTAAAGGAGTTTGGCCAGTTGAGTTGCCAGTGGCTTCCGACACACCGCAGCTCCTGAAAATATCCTGTTTACAAAGTATTCCTGTCCTTCGCATTTCCAGTTTTACACAGAAATATACCCTGCAGAAATAACTATGTAGAGCTGAGCTGCCCTGCTGTCTACCTTTTAGAAGAGGGTATGGGACATGTGAGCAGTGAGTGAGAAAAAGGTGGCATGAAAGAGCAGGAGAGCGATGGAGGGAGACAGGCAGGGAGGGTCAACAGGGCGCGGCTGCTCTCTAATCACATCCGAGAGGCTGTAATTACCGCCTGAGCTCACAGACAACTCCATCCTGGAGTACCACCGACCCTGAAGACGGGACGACTTCGCTGCAGTCATGATGTGCCTCTAACCACTCCTCTGACAGAAACTTCCAACAGGACAACCTAGATTTTGCACTGCTGCATATTATTTTCCTGGTTCTTGATTTAAGATAAAAGTCATCAGAAACTACCCTCTTCAGGATTACACCTCAGATTTCGGTGTGAATTATAAATACCTTATAATATCTATCAACAATAATGCGATGAGTAACCACTATTCCTCTACATTACAAGCATTCATTTTATAGTGAAAGTCTGGGTATTAGATTTTTGAACAAAATCCATCTTAAACCATTAAGAAAAAATCTACAATAGCTGAATGTTTTAACTTTTATGAATAAATAGGATAAGGTTCAAACAGAGTCCAAACTATGAGGCAGATATGCTACCATTACCCACTTAAAGGCAGTTATACGTGTATATCACCGATTTAATGAGCTGCAAACTACCAGAAGTGCTAACTTTATAACTCATAACTCTAACAGCATTCTATAAGTCAGAAACCATATTAGAATACAAGAACTTGGAAAAAAAAACATCCACAATCACATGTCCCATCAAATTACTTGTTAGATTAATGCAGCATGAGGCGATGGATGCATACGGAGGGTTAAACAACCAAACATTGAGGCCTGGATTACCAGAGAATACGTAAGGAATGCATAAGCACATTTTCCACAAATGTAAACATGCTGGAAGAAGGCTGGAGCCAGACAAGCTGGTGCATAACTTCAAAAACTTGGATCAACAAATGTTCACCAAGGAGCAGGCGAGAGATCAGGAGCTGTGGTCATTGAACCAAATATCTTCTGCATTTTTGCTTATTCTTTATCCATATGCATTCATAGACAACTGTATATCATTTACTGGCTGAACATTTGTCCGCTAACTTCCCTTTGTAATAAAAAGTATGCTTCGGTGAAACAGCTGCAATAACTGCCTAGATTGAAAAAACTTCAAAACATTAATAAAAGTATAGGCTGGAAAGCAGAATATAAGTAATGAAGGATGTTTGGAGACCATTCCACATTCTAGCACATTTGTTGGTCACTGATAGTAATTTTTCCAAGCAAAGCAAACTGTATATGTTATTGTGAACAAACAATCTGGTTGTAAAAAATTCAGTAATCAGCAACGAACCAGAGTAATCTAATTTTCATCATTCTGCAGTAAAAATGTTGCAGATATCATTTTAATAGGGTGTCTATTTACCTCTATGCATGATCTGGTGCTTCTCTCGCAGATAGGCTAATCCTCTTAACACCTGTAAACGAGACAAAAATCACTGTAAAAAGAATAAATAAGCGCTACTGTTATAGGGCTGCATAAGTAACAAATATATTGTTCATCTCAGAGTTTTTCTCCCCCCCAAAAAGGGAAATTATCATCAATAACCAATTTTTTTATTTTATTTATGATAGCTTGAGATACTCAGCTCTTCAAGTAAATCCTGTTTTATAGTCAACCAAGTTGCTACTTTAAAAATAAAAAAGAAACAAAAAAAAACAGTAAAGAGAGAAAAAAAAAAGAGAAAGAGCTGACGGGTTTTAATTGACGTGTGCTTGGTACACAGTGTGCTGTGGTAGATAGTTGTTTCATACTGAAACCCTCTTGAACAGCATCAACAAAAAAAAAAACTGCAAAAGGTGCAAAATGGCAAAGAGAGGAAATGATTTGCACCCGGTTGAGACGGCACCTGCTTTCAGTAGACAAATTAGCAGGAAAGTAAGGAGAATAAGAAATAAAAGTGTGTAGTTTGGATTTGAAGACAAATCAAGCATAAAGACCAACACACCATCAGAACCGTAAACTCTGATGCTCTGGGAACAGCTAATATAAAAGCCAATGCGACCTATAAAACATTTGACCTCATTTCAAATACATCTACAGGATCTTCAGCAGCTGAATTAAAATGTAAACCAAGTAGTTTAGTTGAAAAATAAACTTAAATTTGAATTATTTTGATGGAGTTTAAGGGTACTACTTTTTTTATTGGAATCTATTTTGTGATTATTAATGTCCAACATTTAATCAGCTCTTACGTTTAAAAAAACAAAACAAACAAAAATCTTACTTAATATACAAGTGCAACAAATACGTGGTCCCCCAGATGAAATCACTGTTTAACTAACTGACATTGAAAAAAAATCTTCGGATGATTATTTCAGTAATCATGCAGCCTTTGCAATACTAACATTCAGACCATAAAATAGTTTAAGCAGTAGATTAAGAGGTTGTTTGTCTGCTTACAATTAATATTATTTATAGTTCGGTGTGTTTTTCTCTAAAATCATCTAAAAAAAAAAAAAGACTTCTCCAAATTAAAATCTATGCCGTCTTCAAGCTCTCTTGAGTTCTAGTTCTGAGCTCTGCAAAGAACAGTCGACAAGTTTTGACTACATAGATATTTACTAAAAGAGGAACTGATAAAAGATTGTGGCAGAGATGCAACTTATTTAATTCTCACCAGTATTTTTAATCATAAAAAAGAAAGCTGGTAGAGCTGTAGTTAGCCCAAATGAGCTACATGACACAATAAAACAGTAGCCTTTGCTCAAGATCAATTTCATTTAAAAGGGCAAAAATAACACCTAACGTTAGCTGTTATTTTTAAGCATGTCCATTAGCTTTTGTTGAGGCATGGTTTGGACACTTCCAATTTAGAGAAAAAGACCATCCATTTTAAATGCTGCAACACAAAACTATCAATGAGGGCTCCATCAAAAGGTTACATTTAGAGGAGAACAGATATAGCATCTTTAAGAAGGGCTATGGAAAAATGAATAAATGAAACAATTGGTTTATTTATCAACCAGTTCAGTTGTAAACTACTGGCATATGGGATATCTGCCAGAATTCAAAGATTTTGCATCCCAATAAAAAAAAAAAAAAAAAAAAAAAGACTTATAAACTACACCTGTTTATAAACAAATTATAAAGATTTTCAATTTGTTGCTAGAGTCAAATAGTAGATCATGTTTAGTTTGGGCAAACTGTTGCCAAAATAACTATAAAAGTAAAAAAAAAAGTGCATAAAAGGTTATAAAACATGTACTTTATGGAATACGTACAGCTATGCTAACTTTTCCCAGGATTTCTTCAGGGATTCTTCTGGCTTCCTTCAGAACCTGGTCAAGTGAGCCACCATCCTGTTGAGACAAAATATATACATTTAAACTAGTGGAAATAAATTATAGTTTTACTACCAAAGATAAAAAATCTGCCTTTATTTCCCATGAAACAGATAACTGAGCTGATTTAACAGAGGGCAAGTCTGAAAGAGCAGTCTAAGGCCTTTTCTGAATATTATGGGACAAGTGGAATAGTTCACACCTGGTAACATGTCCAGAGTACATGTCAGCCTCAACACAGATCGAATCTGCTATGATCAGCTTTCCAGAGGATATTAAAAGGATGAAATGAGTGTAGGCCTGTTACTATAACAAATTTTGCTGGACGACATGTCCAAGAATTTGGTTTGAATCCCAAGTTCTCCCTCATTGATTTTTTTTTTCCTCAGACTCGCTGCTCCTCATTAACAAAGTTCTCATTCTACACTTGCTACGCTAAGGAAATGACAAGGAAAGGGGTGAGTGGAAACAAACGTGCTGGAGTGAAAACCTTCTGTCATCCAGACTCTTTAATAGAAAGAGTGCGAGGTGAAAAAAAATCAGCAGGCGTGTAAACGGAATTTATAGAGCTCATTTAAATTCACCTTGCGATTTATCGTTTATTATGACAGGCTTTAACAAGTGTTAAGCTTTCAATCAGTTTGTAACCAGTGGCGTTTCATTGTCTCAGCAGACAAGTAATGTTTTTCTCAATATTAGTCATTTTCTTATGTTTCTATAAGTCAGATCTTGACCCAAAAAAGTGGACATAATGTCCCTAAATCTACAGAGTGGATCCAAATTTAAAAAATAGATGATGTAGGTAGAAATGTGTTTAGCTCATCCGCACGTTTCTATCAAAGCATCAAGAAATGTTAAAAACTATAATGGCTTAATGCGCAAGAGTTCAAAATTCTGTCTCATTTGCAAAAATACATTTAAACATATTTAAAGCACAGTAAAACATTTTTTTTTCTTTGCATGTCTAATTGTTCATGTCACGCTACACCTGTGACGTGGAATTCTTCGCTCCATTCATGTGAACACATCGTTATTGTTTGAATATATAAAATGGAAATGGATATACATCACTGATGTACTTCTGACTCAAAGCTATACTGCTCTGAACTCAGGTTTGACCTCATTACCAAGTCTTAGTACAAACATCCAAGTCGGATCAAAGCATTAAAAACATTGTAAGCATTGACAGAAAAAAAAGATAAAAAATAAATAAGCAGATGTATTGAATTTTTTGCGAAAAAGCCAAGGAGACAACAACCAGTAAGAGTCTCTCACCATGTGCTCCATACAGATACTGATCTCTCCATCACTGTAAAAAGCTCCATAGAAGCCCACGATGTAGGGAGAGTTGCACTCGTGCAGCACTTGCAGCTCTCGGATGATCTGGTTCCTGATGGCAGGTTTGATCTCCAGGTGTATTAACTGAGAAAAAAGGTAAAAACATCTGGTCCTGTAAAACTGGAGTTATAGCTTTCACTGAGGGCATGTAAACCTAAACAGTACATCACAGTAGAGAAAGTTAGTTTTCATATTTCAGCAATTGCCCAGTTAAAAAAAAGAGTAAGTTGTTGCCAAATTGTTTTACCCTTTTGCTCAGAAATCCTACTGACATGTTAAAACGGTCTACAAGCTGGAGCATGCTTGAGCGTCTGTATGGAGGGTTTCTGCAGGTTCAAATACAAGCTGTTTATAATAATCATCTTAAAATGAAGCAACTGGATTAGAATGAGCTTTTATAATGATAATAATAATCGTTATTATACAAGTATCCGGGGGTACAGCAGAAGAAAATGGATGGATAGATTATAAAAGTAAAACAAATAAAAATAATAATAATTTTAGAAATTAATAGCTATAGCTAATTTAAACAGCAATATTCTATTAGGGGTTTGTTGAATAGTCTGGATGGTTAAAAAGGGTAATAGAAGAAGGAAAAAAAACAGAATAACACATTTAAAGGAAAACTAAATTAAATTTAAGTGTTAGCATGGAGTGTCTGGGCACATTATAGACTTGCTGACAAAATAAACTACTACAACTATATCAAATAAAAAAACAGTTTAAGTTTAAGCAGATTTTGCAAAAGAGACACACTCTGTAAGTAATCAAACAGAGATCTCTGGCAAAACCTCTAGGTCATTGACCCAAAACACTACGATTTTGTATTTCTGTGGTGGATTGTTCACCTAAACAGGAAGTTTATTTCAAAAACTGCAGCTGATGGATTTCTGGTTTTACCGATTTATCGCTCAATGCTGCTTCCTCAAAAGAAACTAATGTGTTTAAGATTTGTTGATAGAGGCACCTGTATTGAAACCTAGATTAACAAAATAATGCTCAAATAGATTATCGTAATTTAGGCCAACAGCATGAACTCCTAGATTTTTATTGGACTGAAATGTGCATGCTGTGAGCTGTTTCATGTGTAGTAGTGATGCATGGATGCACAAAAAAAAGCTCATCCTTTTACGTTTGACCTGCTTTTGTTGCACTTTTTTTGCATTTGACCTTTTGATTTATTTATTTTTTCATATGCTACACATTTATATTGTTTTTTTTGCCAATTAGGCCCAGTTCATTTTTCTCTGATCCACCTGCAGCAGCGGTAAAATGGCTACGCACCATCGCACAGAGGTGGATAATCCAGGTCCAGAAAGTAAAAAGGATGTAGAGATCAGTTCCAACCATTTGCATTTCTAGCTCCACAACAAAGTCTAATCACCCAAGAAGCTAATCACCTGGTAAAGTGAACAGGATGAAGGGGGGTTTTCACTTTCTAGACCTGAATTATCCACGTCTGCCATAGCAGCAACACTCTGACCATCGATCAGTTCGATTTGACAGAGTTGCAGCTTGGGAATCCTTCTGAACTTTGTCCCCTCACCCCTGCTTTACATGCTGACTCTCTGTGTTTTTGGGGCAATAGTATCTGTGTTCACCTGCATGCATGTGTTAAAGGTGAGATGATAATAGTCTGAAGAATGTGGAAGTGTGCAAATAAGGGGGCAAATGTCTGATTGAACAAGCCGAAACACACCTGTTTACCTTCAATAAACATGGTGCTGGTAAGAGGGATATGGAGAGATCAAAGAGCAAAACAATAAAGCGCACTTACTAAGTGACGTCCTTACACGTTGCTCTCCATATTTTAGTTTCCTGATTTCTGTCTCATTGGTGACAGTATCAACGCTAGCCCTGCGTGATGGTGTCACCAGACGCACAGCGGCGGGGGGTGGGGGTGGTCAGAGACCAAGCAGTTACACCAAGCTTTTTTGCCAATGGGAAGGGAGCCAAATGTCAATTGTTAGCGTGTCCAACCATGTTTGAAAAATCGCATTGACACGATATTTTCAGTGGGAAACAGGATTTTCTGTTAAATTGTTGAAACAAAGACAGTGCGATCAAAAAATGAGCTTACCATTTTAAATGAAATTTTTGTACTTCGTGTTCACCAGTTGCAAAATATGCATCTCACTGCTAGTGGTACAAGTGAAAGAGTTGCATTTTGGGGGAAAAGGAGTTAATTTCTTAAGATTGCAATATTTCAAAGTTTTTTTTTTTTTATTCGAAGTCCAAAAACAATTCTTGGCAAGTATAAACTGAAACTATCTCGATTAAAAATAGTTTATGGGACAAAAACTATGGCTTAAAATCTTAATGAATTGATAGATGAATAGATAAAATGGGAAAAGTGTATTTGACTAAACTTTCACTAAAATCACTAAAATTAACACTGCTCAAATATCACATTTAATTTGAATATGTCTCTGGAAATAATATGTATGATGATAAAGGAGGCCATTTACAAATGTAATTAATCAGCAATGGACTGCCATCCCTTTTGCTGGTGTTATTGAGAGCAACAGTATTTCATTGTATTTTTCGGTAACCTTTCTGAAATCCTGAAAGCCATCTACCATTGAAAGGTGGTGAGCGTTCACATTTAGCTGCGGTAATTGGTTGAGCTGATCTTGCATTAGTGACATTAAATTAGCCAGGAGTCTTTATGGTGAAACCCATTACCTGGGCTTTACATGCTGTGCCTAATACAAGTCAGAATTGGATACCCAAGTCTGGCTTTTCTCAGCAAATGTATGAAAAAACCTCTTTGAAGTAAAAATGCTGAGACAACAACAACAAACAGCTTAAGGATTTCACCTTTCGAGCCATGACCAAACCCGAAGGTTTGTGCCGGACTTTGTTGACCACTCCACCGTTTCCAGCTCCCAACTCGCATATTGGGTCGAAATCTTCATCCTTCAGCTCGCCAACCTGAGCTTTCTGGGTAAGGAATGCTTCCAGACGTTTTCTCTGTTGTTCATCCAGGTCCAGCTCACCCAGTTTCTTCTGTAAGGCCTCAAGGTTGGCTCTTTGAGAAGGATCCACAAGTTAAAAAGCAGGAACAACATTTGCATGAGGTACCTTTATAAATGGGGTTTCCCTTAACTAGTAACAGTGTGGAACTTGTAATTAAAAACTGGACCTCAGAAAACTGGCAAGTAATTCCACAATTTACTCAACTCTTTTGTTATTCTGACATATATTATTTTTGAGGGGGCAGTTTAATGTTAAGTATATATACAGAATGAAGATCTGTAGAAATTGGTCATGTATTAGAGTAATAAAGATTATTTCCCCATCATTGAGCTAATTTGGACTTAGCATAGCTTTACTTACTCAGATGCAGCATCGATGGTGTTTGAGGTGGCCTGACCCTCCCCAATGGGCGTAATGTTCAGAGGAACTGGTCTTCTTTTGGGAGCCATTTCAATATTAACTAAACTAAACGACGTCCTAAATATTAACCCTTTTGTGCGACGAGGCTAGGTGCTGCTAATCTAAACTTGCCCTTAAACAAAAACCTGTAAAAAAAAAAAGAGCAACAGGATCCGCTCCAAGTGGCTAACGACTTGGCTAGTTAACGTTAGCAGGGTTAATGAACTTCTGGGAACATGTCAATTAGCAGAATTAATAAACCGTGTCATACCGATAAGCGCTTCAAATGTCAGATGGTTTTCGAGCTATTCTAAAAAAATAAAAATATGTGACAGGCTGGTTTTATCCGGTTTCTTGTCCGTTATCTACCTGCTGCTATTAGCCATTAGCCAGCTAGCTGCGAACTAGCTAGCGCCGGGTGAGAATCGTGCTTTGAGTTTCTGAGCCGTTAAAACAGCAGTCCTCTCCTCTCTGAGGGTCAGCGCAGCCGCCACAGGGTGCAGAAATACCGGGACTCTTCTACGGTGTCCACCTCGGTGTTTAAACTCGAGGCGTGAAACGTACAGGTCTTCTGAGGGCTGGTGCCTCAATACAGGAAGCAGCAGCAGTGAGCTGCCTGCAGTACCAGACCTCTGTGTGTATGTGACACCCACTGGGAGAGTCCTGCATAAATAGCGCGAAAAGCTGCCAGGAAACCTCAAAGGACACGCAAGAAAAAAAATGGATGTGATTGGACATATGTAGCTTTTGATAGCACTGACAATTTACTGTCTTAATTACATAAAAGCCAAGTTCAGTCGTTTCTGCAGCGATTTATGTAGCGAGTGTGTCGATCATCAACGATCCGAATGGAAATGACAGCTCCTTTACTGAACGATGAGCCGGACATTTTTTTTTTAGAAATATTTCCATATTGGCTTTAACATTTGTATACGGGTGTCCTAAAATGCAGTAAAGATTACTTTTTGTCATAAACCTTTGATGATCTAATCAATTTCCGTAACAGGAAAATTTCAACTAAATACATAAAAACAGGAATTATCAAATCCTTTTTTTATTTTTACGTAACTTTCATAATAAATTTAACTTAACCTAACCCTATAAAAATCCCATATCAAATGTGCCCAGAATTGTTCGGATCAAGCAGGGAGTCGGAATTCCCATCACTTAGTTGGTACATTTAAGTCTCTTTAGTGCCACCTCCTGGCAATAACAGGGAAATGAGTGTTTATATTAAAATTGTATGTGGTTAAGATTTAAAATTGTAATGAAAAGATTTGTTTTTTTTTTCATAAGCCTTAATAAAAATTTTATAGAAAGAAAACGTATGTGCCCTTCCACTTAAACTGATAAAATATTGGAAAATGAATTCTGGTTTTTAGTCTTTTAACATCTACCTGTGTGGATATAGATGTAGAAAACAGGCCTATTTCTGTGTATGTGGTTATTTTACGGTCACAGAGATCATCAAAACCAGATAGGTGGAAAAGCTTCACTCACAGCCACTTGTGGATATGAAAACTAATGCGAGACACATTCACATTCATACAAACAAAAAGAAGACCAGAGCCTTTTCTTAAGAACTGACTTTAATTAATTCAACACATCAATAACAGCTGTTATAATACGATCATTTCCAATTTTACAGTTTCATCCTCGACAGGCAACAAACGTGTCACCACATCTGTGCATTTGGTACAAAGGAAAATCCCCACTTTAACCGGTCCTTTCAGTTCTCAGTGGCATCAGGAGTCCAGTGGCGCTGCATTTCAACAGCTTCTTATTGTCTGTTTGCCTGTAAGAATCGAAGGCAATTCAAGGCTTGATAAAATATTTTATTGTCTAAATAGGAACATATAAAAAAAAACTAAACAAAAACAAAACATTTACATCAATTGTAAGCCTCTGCGCATATTACCTTACGATTTGTTTTTCAATAATGGATGCCACTACAAAAAGAACTGAGGCTCAGTTCCACAGTAGCAACCCACACCGCCTCATCTTTGACCATCAGCCCACGAGAAGTCAGAGACCACCTCACAATAAATGAAGGAAAAAAAAAAACTTCATCTTTATGTCTATAAATTGCAATTTCCAAGTGAAAGACCAGTATTAGAGTTCTCCATTTTGGTTCAAAGACCCCTCTATGGAGTATCCTGTTCTCTCTTACAGGCAAAGTGCCGTCGGTTTAGGGTGGATCGCCATCATCGTTCCCCTTTGTATCTATTCCATATGCATTTCAAGGTAGGGAGGGGAAACAAAAAAAAATGGAAGACAAGATCTGAATGAATTACTCTTGAGCCATCTACTCAGACGATGCACCTGCAACATTCAGAATCCAAAACCACGGGTGATTACAGTGCACCTGAGCCAGGCTAAAGAAAACCAGAAGATCAACCTGTTAAAACTGCAACATGGAGAGCACACCCTGTGGACCTGGACTGAACCCAACACTCTCACAGTGAAGCAGCACTGCAACTTTCATAGAGACCTGTCCTGGATTCCTAGAGTAATATATGAGAACTGGTTTAAAAGTCCCTGTTTATCATTTGCTACACAAGAGTCTTTCAGACTAAGAAAAAAAAAAAAACCCAAAACATCTCAAAGTATTACATAAAAGCAGACCTCTAGCAACACGATTTTTTTTATACAAGAAATAAATCTGAAGCCTAAACATCTAGGCAGAGCATCTTTATCCGGGAGGCAGGCATCAAATATTTACACTAGTGCAGAGGCTGAGATACATTAGAGTCTTTAGAACGCAGCAAATATGGTCTCATTTTACTCCAGCTAATAGATACAACCTCACTTAGATAAGAGCCTGAAAAACAGGGTTGGAGAGGAAGGGAGCAGCTGTCGGATGCAAACAGGACCCTTTGTGACCAAGTAGGGAGGGGTGGGGTGAAGATTATTGCATCAGAAAAATGCATTAACGCAGAGTTTGATCTAGCTAGCACTCTTTATCCAGAGTAGAGCCACTGACCTTCAAGCTATCAGTTGCCCACAGCAAAATCCCTCCAAGTCCAGATGCCACTGAAAGTAACAGCACAAGCTGAAGCCAAGGGTTGCTCAACTAACCAGCAACTATAAAAAAATACATATCAAATAAATAATTCCAAGCTGAAAAGTTATCAGCATTTAGCATCCGGATCTGTTAATTTGACTCAAAACACTCAGCAGGAAAAAAACTAAAACACCTCAAACTGAGCTCTCGCCTTTCTGGCTTCCTAAGATGGACTTAAGGTAATGGGATTAAATCTCCACCACTTAACAAACCACCCGCCCCCTTAAAAAAAAAAAAAAAAAAAAAATTAAATAAAAAAGGCACCAAACCTCCATAACCAGCTCCTGCCAACAACCGCTTCTGCTTTAGAACCATACCAGTACAGTCACATTGATGTATAACATGTTTGTGGGACTCCTAAATTTCCATTTGTTTTTTCTGAATATTTTTAACTCTCAAATCTCTGCTTCCCTCATCGCCACCACTGGCCTGGTAATACTCACACCGACTACCGTTCAAATGGGTTTTATTGTTGCTGTGAAGAGAAAATGGCTGGTTGGAACAAAAGGATAGAAAAGTGTTTATATATATAAAAAAAAAAGGCCAGAAAAAAATTGGATTTAGAAACTGTTGTCTGTCCACTTGTTTCAAACCAACTCCCTGGCCAGTCTGCAAAGCGTTTAATGACTGAGGTAGGTTCTCTTTAGGACCAAGTAAAAACTGAAAGCAGACGCCATGGTGACCATAAAGATGAATTTCTAAGAATGATAACTCAAATTTTAAATCATTGTTATAGATTCCCAAAATATTGTTGTCCTCTAAAAATTTCATGCCTTAAGTTTCTTTTTTTTTTTTTTAACCCTTCATCAAAAAGCTACCAAGAAGCCGGTTATTTTGCAAGCTCCTAAACAATGTGACAAAACCCAGATGCAAAGAGTGAGTATCAGTCCATGGCTAAAAGAGCCGGTCATTTGGGGTTTATACAAAGGGATGGGGAGGAATCTGAGAAGGGGAAAAAGGCTGAGGTGGAGCAGGGGGGGATGCTCGATCCGGTCAGTGGTTCTAGTGGAGGCAGGACGGTACAGAGTCTCTCTGCAAGGTGGTGACTGGGCAAACAGAGCTGCTTCCACAGATGTGCAGATAAAGAGGACCCCTCTCACTCTAAGCTCAAGAGTCATGACAGAACATGTTTGAGTGTGTGTTTATTTTGTTTGAAATCAAACTAGAGCTGCTAAAATGCTCTGATGCTCGAGGACCAGACAGTTGTGGCATCTAGAGGGTGACTGTGTTCCTGTCCTCAAATTTCAAGCCCCGCCTCCTGCCTCTCTGCCTCAGCATGTCAGTCTGTGAGGAGGGACAGAGCTGCAGGGTCAGTATGCAGTGACCAGGTCCTTGTCGTAGTTGTATCGGCCCCTTTTCGGGGCTGGACTATCAGCGCTGTCCTCTGTGTCATCACTGTCCCCTCCAGCCTCGCCACCTTCCTCCTCAGAGGAGGAGTCCAGAGTCAGATCTACCACTACTCCTCCAGCTGCCGGCGCTGCTGCAGAACCTCCTGTGGCTCCAGGCATCCCCACAGAGCCGCTTCCAGACCTACCCGACTGACTGGTGCTGCTATGCGCAGGTGAATGTCCGTTTGCTTCAGGAATGCCTGAGAAAACCGGAAAAAAATTAATAGCAACAAAAAAAATGCATACAGTGTCTTCGAAAAGTATTATCTTCACTAAAAACTTTTTGAAATTTGCAAAAGGAAAAAAAAAAAAAAGGGGGGGGGGGGGATTTAATGTGATAGACTAGCACAAAGTAGAACATCATTGAAAAACATTCATGATTTTCTAATGTGTTATTAGAAAAAAAAAACGAATAAAAGTGGTTCAACATTTTCATTTATTGCTCAGGGTGAATCTTTTGAAGAATCACCGCTTGCTGGAATTACAGCTGCAAGACTGTCAGGGTGTCTCCACAGCTGTTTGCATAAAGACTGAGGTATTTGCTTAATATCTTAAAATGCTTAAAGAAAGCACACATTAGGTGAATTTTCCTTTGAAATCAATTTTTAAGTCTTGCCAGGAAACAGATTTAGCATTAAAACTTTGAGCAGGCAAGTCTAGAACATGAATATGATCTTATTCTAGCTCTGGCTAATTTCAGGCTCATTATTCTGCAGGACAGTGAACCTCCAAATTCAGAATAGCCTCTTACAGCCTGTAAAAAGTTAAATTCATTGTACCCTTATAAATACCTTGCTCCATCTTCTCATTAACTCTGAATGACATAGTTAAAGCTTCCTCACATGCCTCTATGCCAGGGAAGCATCCACCTTTGTATAATCCATAATTTCCTTGATTAAGACCAAAGTAGATCTAATAAAAGTACCAAAACTTATACCCCATTTACACTACCCTTGAAAAACCGTGCCGAGACCAGTCCAAGCTCAGTAACTGAGGTAACTTATCGTGTGTAAATGGAAACCAAACTGAACTGAACAGAGCTAGACACAACCGAACCGAGATAACTGCAGACCAGTTCCAGAGGTGGGCTCTGCTCGGTTTTTCCCTGGCTCGGTTCTCTGATAACAAGAGGGCATGAGCAGAAAGCATCATCTCCGTCTGGCTGCACATCCCGATTCACACTCCATTCCAGTAGTTGGCGGTAATGCCCCTCCGGAAACAGAAGAAGAAGAACAACTTCTTCAACTATAAACAACAATCGAAATCTTCACCACGCAACATTTTAAGTAATGGCTTTTTAAATAATGACACCGAAGTACAGCAATAATAATCAAGCATAACTTTCTGAATGTGATGGGCGCCGCCATTCAGCCTGGTTAACTGATCCGAGCTGGGACCGGTCTCGGCATGGATCGGTTTTTCAAAGGTAGTGCAAACGGGGCTTTAAAATACTGTGGAATAGAAGCCAAGCTTCAGGTCAGGCCTGTTCATAATCCCTCATCTTTGCTGCTGTTCTCTGAAACCTTTCCAGAGTTACCATTGGGCCTTTTGGCAGGATCTCCCCTTGAGAAAAAGACACTGATGCCTTCACATAACACCTATATAAATTATACACAAATGTACTCCATTTACAGCTCACCTCTGAATGGCTGCACTGGATTTGATTTAGGGAGATCAGATTAAAAGGCCTGCTTTCAATCACATTTAAGGATGTGGTTGCAATGTAGCACAATGTGCAAAAGTTAAATCATCATGGAAACCTTTACAAGGGACACAATACAAACATCTATAGTGAGAGGGAACAGGTTTAGTTACGTACACATATCAACAACCGGGTACTCCGGTGTGTTGCTTCGTTCTCTTTCTCTGTCTTTTTCCTTGTCGTCTCTGATTGGTCGCCAGGAGCCGTCTGTTAGGTACTCGATCTCCTCTATTTCTTCACTCGTCTCTTTGAGAATCTCAGATAATAACCTAGAACAGCAAAAAAAAAAAAAAAAAAAACACACATTAAAAAAATCACAAGCACCAACAAGGGGCTCACGTTTGCTTTTTGTGTTTATCCAGCAACCTTATCCAAACATCCCAACATAAAAAAAGTCAGAATGAATCCAAACAATGTATCTGTTGATGGGAAAATTCATCCTTGAAAAGTGTCAGATCTTAAAGTTTAAGATGGGGACTTTCCACACTAGTTTACTCCCAAGGAATGCAAATAAACTTAGCAGCCAAAATGTAGCACAGTGCTTTCAGTCTTAGAGAAAGTAAAGGAGCCTAGAATCTACAGGACATTACATGCCCAAAACTATCACTGATAGGGAGGGGAGGAAGAAAAAAAAGAAAGCTCAGGCTGTGCTTACTTTCTCCAATGTTAGCGTCACACTGAAACTTTGCAAAATGAAAATTTTTTGAGAATTTATGATCTAATTATAAACAAACTAATGAGATTGTGGCAAAAGCAAATGAGCAAAATTACTGATCAAATAAAGAGTGGAATGAATTGAACACTTTGAGAATTTCCAAATGTGCATTGGCACTGAATAGTTCCTTAAAGAGTAACCCCAAAATGCCACATCCTCCGTAAACACCCTGCTCCGCTCCAGACAGCCTGCGCGAAGGACAGCCACCAGCCTTTACTGTTCCTCCCGTCTTGGTCTGCTCCCACTTTCTCAGAGCTCCAGGAGAGCATGTGCGATATTATTACATTCAAAGGAGCAAAACACGCAGTAATGAACGCTCAATTTAATATGAGAAATAAAAAATGTTTTCTTTTTGTTGTGGATCTTTGTAACAGGGATAACATTGGCTTGTAAGAACTATGTTTGTTCTCTACTTCCAAACTCAGCATCTCTTCATCCATGCCTGCCACAAGAAGTTTGTTTTGAAGTTTTCAGATGTGCTCTTGTAAGTTGTTGTAACTGAATTTGATTAAACTTTTAGGCCTCTCAGTATAAAATAAATATTTTGATCGAGATGAGAAACCTTCTCCGTGATAAGGTGAAGTACCAATAGTTTGCATCCAATCATTTAATGAAATGGTCTTAGTGTTGAGGAATATATAAGAATCATGCTCTAATTAGTAGTTACCGATCCGTCAATCCCATATTTTAATTAGTCGAAATGGATCTTCTTAATGTTCTTTTTCCTGTTGGGTGCGCTTCCAATTGGGGATCTTGACCTGGCCTGACCGGAGCGGAGCAAAAAATAGCTCAGCTCCGTATTTTGACAGTGAGGGACAAAGAAGACATACGTAGACGGTGACGTTCAAAGGAGCAGCGGCAGATGTGAACCGGTTCTCATCGATTAACATGACAGAAAAGGACTGTGCACGATGTACGTGAGTGGAGCGCTGACGGAGGATGTTGGATCTGGGGGTAAGCTAGCCCATGTCTTCTTACCCGTCGATCGTAAGCAGTTCAAAAGGAGCAGGCTTATCACACACAGGGCAAGTCCATGTGGGCTTCTTCTCATTCATCTGCAGGAAGAAAACTGCGTCGAAACACTGAAGATGGGCGCAGGTTAAAACTCGGCACGGCACCCCGAGCCGCATCTTCACCAGCTGAGATGTTGAGAGAGGATGGTTCAAATTAAAACACATTTTCTGAAGCCTATAATGCTTAAATATGACATTTTATTTTGTTGTTGTACTTACTGGACAGATTAAAGAAACTCTGAGGCCAGTGGTTGCAATTTCACTTTCTGGATCAAAGCGAAGCTTATCTTGAACTGGTGGCAAAGAGCAGAAAAATATTCACATTGTTGTAAAGGGTGAATGACTTAAATACCAAAGCTATTAGAAGATCTTTAAAAGACACTTTGACGTTTAACGTACTGCGTTCTCGACAGCGTTCTGCGCTCTCAACTGAGCAGAGCTTGAGCCGGTTAAAGAGGTCTGCTGCTGTGAAGACCCGCACCAAATACACCGCCACAGAGTAACGCTGAAAATGAAGATTTATAACAAAGAAAATAAGCATGGCAAACAATAAGATGTCAAACAAAAGCACTTTCAACAGCATTTATTTCACTTCATAAAAAACGACAAGTCCCAGCATGAATTGACGCATTTTGGACTCTGTTAGATTTGCCCTCCTGCTCTGACATGCAGCTGAAACCAGCAGCATCTCAGTCTGACCTTGCCAAAGTTCCCCCAGGTGATGGTGACTCTGTTAGGGACGCTTGAGAGATGCAACCAGGGTGTGATATTAATAGGACGACAAGGACGACGAGGTTCAACTCCAGGCTTATTTGAGGGGTAATAACCCTGCAAACACAAACAAAGAAAGGGGGAAATATAATTTAGTTCCACATTCTATTGAGAATGTTAATACAACAAATGAAACATGATTTAAACAGAGCAAAGAAGCAGCAAGTAGCATTGACAGCTAGTGTTTCAAATCAGAACACCATAAGAAACGTATAGCTTCCCCCCCAGTGAAGAGCAATCAGCCAAAGAAAGTTGTGAAAATATTTCTGAAGGATGCTGAGGCTTCTTGTTTTTTCTCGAGACCATTTCTGGTTCGCTTCTCTTACTCACCTCTGCCTTAGCAGGCCGTTGCTCTCGGCCAACATAGAATACACTCCGTTTCAAAAACCTAAGTAACTCTAATATAATTGTCTCAGAAACTAGTAAGTACACAAAGGTCTGATGTAGTTCAGCACGGACCAAGATTACTGTCCTAGTTTGGAAATGTGCTTTACTTCGTTGAGGGAAAAAAAAAAGAAAAAAAAAAAAAGAGCTTTTTTAAAAATCATTATTCTACCCCAAATCACGTTTATGTGTTCCTGAATTTTAGTTTTGGGGTAAATGCTTCAATGAGGTCAAAATTTATTTTTAAACACAAAAGGCATCATTAGAAGATAATATTAAGGAAATAAATATGTTCAAAACAGAAATACCCATGGAGAAAAAATTGGAACAGAAACAGCTCCATGCAGCCCTAGGGCTGGGCCATATGAAGTACATCGAATATGATATAGTTGGTATATGTCGCAATACATGATTATTAGGGGTGGAACGGTTCACAAAATCCACGGTTCGGTTCAATTCACGGTTTCGTGGTCACGGTTTTCGGTTTGGTATATGTTGATTGTTACACCGAAATCCCATAAAAATTAATGAAAAAAATCCCAAAAAATGTATGGATTGTAATTATTTTTAATGATCCGCGGAAACCCTGGATCATTTCCGCATGTTTTGCTGCTTTGAATTTAATCATCTGGCGCATGCCCTCTACGATCTCCAAGGAACTCAGAGTGAAGTGGACGGGAGCGACAGCGGAGGCTGTATGCTTTGCTTTGTGCAGGTAGTCTGGAGCGCAGCGGGGCGGAGCGGAGTGCTGATGGTGTATGTGGGATTTCGGGGTTAGCCTAACATGTTGGTCATGTTGCTGTTAGTATAAACAAAACGTGTTGCACAATGCTTGCACACTGTTGCACTTTTATCCACAACTTTCTTTCCGCCGTCATCGTAGGTCACTCTAAATGCAAAGTGGTCCCATACAGCAGACCTATAAAGTGCTGCTGGCGCGTCTTCCAACTTCTGATCTTTCCCACTCGCCATTCCGACACAATTCTCCACAACAACTGATTTTTTTCTGCTACACCCGGCTAAGCTGCTTCGCTTCTTCTTCTTCTTGTTTACTACTGGTGGTTGGCTTTGGTCGCAGTACCGCCACCTTCTGCTCTGGAGTTTACCCGCGTCGTCTATGAGAAAAAGGAGCCGCGCATGAACCGAACGCAACACACGCAAACCGAACCGAGACAGTCGAACCGAACTGTTCGGACGGTTTTCATAAACCGTCCCATCCCTAATGATTATATATCACAATATGTTTAAATTACCTTCAAAAACACTAGAGTGCATATAATTGCAATGATATACTCCTTCAAACGTTTGGTTTTAAATTAAAATTTTTTTATTCTAACCAGGTCAAAGTTTTACACAAATAAAACTGCCACATTACGTCTTTCGGTGCCCGTATTAGACCTTTAACAAGATCCCAGCAACCAAGCAAGAAATTAAGCAAAAACACGCAATACTAAATAAAATGCAAAATAAAAAAAGGCTTTTTTGTCTATAATAAAAAAATAATGCAGCATGAAAAAAGAAATTTACTTTAAATAAAAAAAAACAAAAGCGGAAATACTGTTCAAAAATTAGAGCATTATCAGAGCATCTCAAAACTATTTGCATTGATATTTATTTGCTGGGAATTTTAAAGAAGAAATCCAAGCCACTGCCATACATTGCTTAGCTGAAACACCTGCTGTCACCGTATTCATTTGCCATTTGCAAACGAAAGGAATGAGGGGTTTATGATGCATTCAAAGCGTTTGGGGAAAAAAACAAAACAAAAAAAATGTCAGTGAAATAGATGCAGACTGCTTAATGTCATGCAAATTTGTACTCAATGGTAGCGATTGTCATTTTAACTATCGTATGGGGGAAAAGTCCAGATACATCGACGATATTCGATATATTGCCCACCCCTAGATGCTATGACACTAAACTTCCAAATTTATTATCGACACACAGGAATAAATTACATAACACGGGGATAAAAAAAAGGCATATACTTAATACCATAAAATATATTGAAATCTAAACACGGAACACCCTTAACAGATTTATAGATTACACTCGATACATAAGTCTGAAATACAAAAAATACATAACCCAAATATAACAATTTGACAGCATTGGAAGGTTGTTTTGATGTTTTATAACTTAATGTGCAAATAATTAATGCTGATTAATTAATGCTAAATTATGCTAATAACGTTTGAAGACATTTCATTTTCCACCCAGGAAGCGTTTTCAATTCAAATGTCAGAAATAGCGTTAGGTTCCAAGCATCATAGAGTAGACCAAAAACAAACCCTTATTTTGGCTTAGAAAACATGCAAATTGAACCGGATGAACGGGTCAGCCTCTTTGGAATGGGGAGTTGTTTGAGTTGTTTGTTAGCCTGCAATACCCGATACCCGTCTATGTCTCTGAAAGGGGGGTCGTTAAAGGGAATTTTTGACCTAGCTAAACAGGCGAGGTGTTCTGTTCCCGTGTAAAGAGGTCAGGGTTGAGGTGATGGCGGGAAGGAATCAATTCTATCGCTGAATTGTAGGTTTTTGAGAGCTGAAACCTGAGTCCACTGTTTTTCTGAACATAAGTGGCGTCTTTCACGCCCCTCTCAAACCACCTGTCTTCTTTGTCCAAAATGTGAACATTCTGGGCCTCAAAAGACTGTCCATTGTCCATAAGGTGTAGATGGACAGCCGGGTCTTGTACCGAGGAGGTCGCTCTTCTGTGTCGGGCCATGCGTCTTTGGAGAGGTTGGTTTCTCCAATATAAAGATCAGAGCATTCCTTACTGCACTGAACTGCATAAAACATTTCGCTCAAATTTGGTCTGGGGGTCTTTTCTTTAGGATGCCCTAGACTCTGTTTAAGGGTCTTGTTTTGTTTGAAATTTACTGGGATTTTTGTGGTTTGGAGAAACCCAAAATATATTCCTGACCAATATTTTCCCAAGAAAATACTGATCATGCATTATACTAGAACAGCTATAAAAATCAGTTGCGTGATACTGTTGCTTTTCTATCATCTTGGACCAGTTTCCCTTTTCTCCTTTGAACTAAGCAAGGCAGTTAACTGGACATTTTTTGGTCTGACTGTGTTTTATAAACCAGAGAGATGACTGTGAAGGAGAATCACGCCAGATCAATAGTAGAGCTGCAGCATATAGCAAACTGCAATCATCTTTGCACTTTCAATGTTGAGATCAGAGTGGGAAGCATATATTTTAACTGTACAAAGTAATAATATATGTGACTAAGTAAATTGTCTCAAACAGGGAGGAGTCTAACTAATACATAGAGTTCACAATTTAACAGTAAATAACAGTAAAATGTGAAAGTATGAACAGCTCTACCTTATTTTCCTAAAACATCATTTATGAGTGAACCAACCTACCGGTACATGACAGTAGGACTGATTGACTTTGACAGCAATGTTGGGGGGATACTGGTCCTCCTGAACGCCAATAAGGTCTGAGTAACAGATTCTGCATGAAAGAGAAAGCACAGAAGTATAGGAGACCATCTAAGACAATTAGGCTTATAAGTAAAAAGAGATAAAAAAAAAATAAATAAATCTAGCAATAAATGAAAATAAACAAAAAATATGGAAATCTTAAGAACTCTCACCCTCCCCTAAGTAATAGAACTGGGTATCAATCTAAATTTCAAGAATAGATTAAAATAAAATGTTTAGATGAGATTCTCTTTGATCAGACCTGATCTAAAATTTGATTGCAGGTATTAACATTTTTTAGCTGTTCCCTGAATTATGTCGCTGTGTAGTTATGCAACATTTTAATAATAGTATTATATTAACATTCAAAAACGAATTGATAAATAAATGGTAGTTCATTGCACTGCAAGAAGTGTGAAAAACACAATCTATAAAGATAATCTTTGGTTATATGAATCAAACTTAAGGAATTATTATAAGAATAAATTCAAAATTGAATTAGATTTTTTCCAAAAAGCACTGCTAAGTAAAGCAATATTTGTTTTGTTTTTTTTTATCCACACAAAGAGCTTTAACTGGCAGGACAATAAATTCTATGGAGTTGGACTCACCTGAGAACCACCTGGACTGATCGGATCCCTGGGCGAAGCTCACTGTGTAGACAGATAATTAAAATTATATATAAGTTACAGACTTAAATAAGAATTTTGATAATAAATTACATGTCATTACTGAGTTATCACCTTGCATTTCGAATCTGGTCCGCTTGCAGTGGTGTTAATTCAAAGATGCACTGACTGTCCTGTAATTTTTCACTGTTGTGGGCAACTATAAAAACAAAATGATAAACAAATCAAAAATAAATAAGATACAAATAATGTAAAGCTTAAGTGCAGGCAGTTGGTTTGCACTCACTTAGCTCTGTTGGTGGCAGAAGCGTCTCTAAGGTTTGGTAGAAGGGCAGAGGGACCAGCCGGACCTCTGCTGCAGGCGGATGGAGCGGTTTGGAAATCCCGTTGAGGTAGTCTGGGCCCTGTGAGGTCAATGATGGAGAGGAGCTGAGGGATGAATATGCCACTGGGACGCCTTCCGGACGTCGTGCTGGCAGCCAAGCGGCTGATTTAGGGAAACGAGACTCGTAAAGCTGCCGGACATTCTTCAAGAGTTCTGGACTGTACTCTGTTTGCACTAGTCTTAGTGCACGACCCACAAGGTCCTGCTTCAGACCACTTTTGCTGCGACCCATTGAGGCCAGCAGCGTTTGTAGGTCTGAGACCCGGAAACTTTTCACCATGTTCTAAAAGGAAGAGAAGGCAAAACGATAAGAAGCTTAGGCCATGTGTCACAAACTTTGATCACAAAGTCCTAACTGGATAGTAGGAAAACCTGGAAAAACAGATCTGTCAAACCACGCTGTTGAAGGATGCGCGAACGTGGCTCAACAGAAGAAAAAATAAAAATTTCACGAAAGCTTGTCTTTAAAATTCTTATTTATACTTATCATATATTCTATATACTTATATTCATATATAAACACCGTTGCTGGATCAGATCAATGCATCTCCATTGAACTTTGTATCTTTTTGTGACAATGACCAAAATGGTCTTGCATAATAATATTTTCTAAAGACTGGAGTCAAAGCAGTTTTTCCTGAACCCAAGAGGGATTACTGAGGAAGTCTGCATTACTTTTCTAAAATCACAAATCAAAAATTGTGAAGATATATGGCCTCACTTTAGTAGAATTTATGCCTGGCAAATATGACTTAAAAATCTAGTCTGATCTGTTTTCTCCAATGGCAGCCCAAACAGGGCATTGGTGGGAAACAAAAAAAATTAAAATAAAATTGTTTTTCCAAACTTTACAGCTTCATTAACGTAAGAGTGTGATTAATCATTTAGAAATTAATTGCCCAGCCACAGCAGAACTTATCCAGATGTGAGACAATGTTTAGAAAGACTAATTTTGAATGTTTGTTTTGATCTTTGTTGAAATGTCAATTAACTGGTTTATTTCTTACAAATATTGGTTTACATACAGAAAAAACACGATACCTCTCCACAATTTGCAACTGAGGGGCAATAGCAGGGATTGAGTGAGAAGAACAATATTTACAGTAAAAAAAAATACAATTCATGCATCCAAATTGTGTAGATTGGGAAGCGTTTGATGCAAAAAATCTAGTTGCAAATATGTGAATTACAATATGAAAAACATATTGTATATTTCATCCATCTACTGTAGAGTTTGTTTTTTAAACATTTTCTTTTTCGAAATAAATGACAATCAATTTGACTGTATGATCTGGTGAACCTTAAAGTGCCTTGAGATGACATGTTGTGAATTGGCGCTATATAAATAAACTGAATTGAATTAACCTACTAAATGGCATATCAATTAACGGAAATGTATTATGACCACTGAAAGTCAGGGCATTTACACATAGCTTAGTAAAAGTTTAAAGACAATAACTACAACAAAATCAATTACTGTTGTTTGTTCTAGTTTACATGGTTTTGAAGGTTAAATGTAAACATTGGTACAGAAATGGAGACTAAGGAACAGAGATGCCTTGAAACTGCATTTTTTTTTAATACTGTAGACTTGCTTTACATCTTGCATTGATTAGCTGTTTCTATGTACAGAAGTATTTTATTGCTCAACTAGATCTACGATAGTCTATAAACCATTGCCACTAAAAAAATGACTAGTTTATTTCATAGTTAAGAGACACAGGATGTATTAGACAAACATGAACAGCTTCACACTGCATATCTATCCGGAGTACCATCAAGCGCGATAGAAACGACGTGCTATTGTTTGTCCATAAGTGCTTATTAGAATACGAATGCTATTACTTGATCGATAAATCACAACCACCTTGTTCTTTTATTCCCCCTTTTTGAAGCTAACCATATATACAGTGGCAATAAAGAGGTTTGCCTCTCAAGAGACTAGCCTGTCAGCATTCAATCATTGTGACAGATGCTAAATGCTAGGCTCTAAAAACCAAGAAGCCAACTTATAAACAATATAATCCACAGACTATTGCAAATGAAGTCATGTGAATGTATACATAATTGAAATTAGGTCTAATTCATTATCATTGTCTTTCCTCACACCCAGCGTGATGCTAAATGTACCAAGCACTTGCATGGATAACATAACCTAGCAGGCTAGCTTTGTTAGCACCTAATGCTAGTTCTTTTCGTCGTGGTTCCAGTATGTCCAATTTGTAGGATTGTTCATACTTAAAAATATCCACACAGATACTCCGGGTTTCCCACGGCCGGTGTGACTTTAGGCTCACAGTTCCACTACCGTTCCCCATCAACCGAAAAGCCACCAAGCTTTACCTACCATCGCTTCCACCAGTTCGGCCGCCATCTTCGCTTTGCAGTACCGCGAGAGTCACAAATGACGACAAGTCCTCCACCAATGAAACGACAAACCTTTTTCAGAGAGGTACGGCGTTGACCAATCGGGTTACGCAAAAAAAGACTGACACTTCAAATAGGCGGGATTATTGTATTTTAAAGATATAGTACACCTTTTAAAAAAATAGTCAAAGGCAGGTCTCTTTCTCTACATTAGGCCTCAGTATCAGTGAATTTCACAGTGTTTTATAGTTTTTGTTGATATGATATGTTTAAGTTTAATAATGTTGAGATATTTTGAATCCACGTTGTCATGTCTACTGAAATTCAATGTGGAAGGAGAACAGGGGCTGTCAAGTGGATGGGGGTAGCATGGTCTTCTGAAATCCCGTCCGAGCAAAATAATCCATTTCGGGTTTGGTGACCAACCATGAGAGGCTACAGTAAAGCTTTGTCTAATGTAAGAAAAAAAAAAATTAACTGAACAAAACATTTCCATGCCCTTTGTACAGATCTGCAAATTAAAACTCTAAAGCAACAATACTGTTATTTAAATGAAGAGTTTAAATTATATATACACATGTGTATGATTGAACCTGCACACATCCATAGATAATCCAGTCCAGACTTTATAGCAGCTCTTTATATTTTTGGTGATATAAGTTGGTGTATTTTTTTTTGTTCACGCTGTTCTAATTTTATGAAAAACACATATAGACTAATTCAAATGTAGAAATATGTCCATATTTCTTTCAACCAGCTGCTATGTAATGCAAAAGACTTTAAATTAATAGAAAATGGTTATCCTTAAAATGTTTAGGTGTTATACATTCAGTAAATGTGTTTTCTCTCCTTTCATCACTACATCTGTAATTCTTAATATTTATTGGATTTTTAAAAATTATTATTAATACAAGTATTTTGTTGTTTGTATATAAATGACAAAGTTATATAAAGATCTAAAAGAATAGCCTTATGAAAGCTCAGTGTGGGAGCCTGCTTTATGTTATTCTGAAGTTACAATGGTTCTTTCTGTTTTTCTGTCAATATATGTTTACACCACATATTCTTTTTTTATTTTACATATTATATCTAAGCAACTAATTATTCATGGTTCAGTTTGATCATTTGTGTTAAAGCAGATTCACAGCAAAAAATCATTTTATTTTATTACATAAACAGATCAAATAAAAATCCACAAAAAAAAAAACCCAATTTAAACCCATTAAGTAATTAGACAAATGCAAATTCAGTTACAAATCAGATTTTTGAAAATATGAAAATACATATTAGCCGCGTAAAAATGCAAAAGATACTGAAACTGTAAAGGAAGGGTCATTATCCAGAGCCTAACAAGTCCCATACTAATAGAGGCTGAAAAGCCGTTCAGTGATAGATCAATAAAAAAAATACTCCAAAATGCAAATAAACAAAGAATAGAACAGAATTCTACTTTATTGTCATTACATTGTCACAAGTACGAAGCAACGAAATGTAGTATAGGGACAAATACCTCTATTTTAGTGATTTGTGGTCTGGTGAAAATAGAAGTGAAGTGTGTAATCATGAAAACCATTAATACATTTAGAGAACAAAAAGGAGAAATCTTGCAAGCCTATTGGATAAATCTCAAATTGAAGTGGTACTATTATACTTTGGGTGTTTTTTGTATTTTCTTTTTTGTTGCAGGGGAAGATGTATTTCACAAAGTAGATTCCATCATGGTGGACATTATGAAAAAAAATGATGGATGATCTATTAAATCTTGGTGACAAATGGATCTTCCAAAGAGATAGCAAAGGTGTGCTCTAAAAACAACCTAGTCTATGTTTTAGGATGGCTATCACCGTCATGATCTCTGTCTCATATGCAATTTGTGGGCAGAGAAGAAGAGGTGTAAAGGAAGGCGTCATGGATATTGTTGCAGTGCAAAAGGTGAAGAGAAAACTGAACAAGCAGGAAAACCTCCAAGTTGCTCACCTTGATCGTTATCTCAAATCTAAGGCTAGATGTTTGAAACTTGACAATGTGGGGATTTGGACAGTGAAATGATACAAAACAGGCATCAAAGGTGAGTGGCAGGTCCATGTTAAACCTTCTGTGATTTCAGTCACAGAATGAAGACAACACATTTCCACCACATCTGTTTTATTGATGGAACATGCATGTGCAAACAAGCCAATGTGTCTCCTGATAATACATAGTAGGAAGGTGTGAGACACTGTGCTCAATGTTAAAGATCCTGTTCCATTATTCAAACAGAAGAGGGCAATATGGTCTATAATTTAAAGTTAATACAACTGTCAAGATATTTTCTATGAGCTTAGTAGAACAAATTAGATTCATGTGCACTCTTAAATGTTTTAATATTGTCTATTTATTTGAAAAAGAAAGCCAAAAATATTCTAATACTTCAAAAACAACAGATTTAGCAGTTAAAATACAAAGTAATATTCACTGATTAGATCATTTGCAAAACAAATACATTATATCTGCACAACTTTTGGGTTTAGGCAGTCATGTTTTATTGTTTTAACTGAGAAATTAAATGCAGCTTCCCAGGTCCAAATACACACTTTATAGAAGAAAAAAAAATCAGGAAGATCAGCTTTTCTGAACATGTGTTAATACTAACAAGTAGACTTTATTTACCCATTAATCCCAAGGAAAAGCTATCTAAGTGCATGTTGCATTATCTTGGAACAAAATCATTAAATAGCTCTGTTTAAAAAAAGTGAGTAGAGTTAAAAAGTAACGGTTTTTAAATCAGCTATTAGTAATATTATTATATTATAGTATTATAATATAATATTATAGTATTTAAAATACAAAAATGCACATAAAAATAATAAAAGATTACATTTTGATATTTGATAACCATGAAAGAAGCATGAATACAACACAATAATTTATTTATATAAAGAAAATGGAGGTTTGATTTTATTGAAAAACTTATATAGATCATTTTAAACATATCTAAACAAATCACAAAAAAGAAATGTAAACAAATTAGTCATATTTATAATAAATGCTTTACTTGGAATAAAACTCATGTTAAATAAACCATGATTGTTTTCCTCACTTTTATTAGTTATATTAAGACTTTGCAAGACTTTCAAATAACATTAAAATTTTGAAATCAAAATCAAGGAACTGTGCCCATTAAATACTGCCTTTTCAAAGAAATTCTTTTTACAAACCACCCCCTTCATATACACACACACAAACACACACACATACACACAAAACAAGCTAAACAGTCTTAGACTGGCATTTAAAAGCTTTTTGATTCTAAGTCAGCCATCTTTTTAGCACACCATGTCCGGCTAAATCTTGTGTTTAATCTCTCGTAATTACAAAGATTTGCTTAGGTTAATAAAAATAATCCTCCTCATTCAGGACCCCCTACCTGGACCTCCCCTGTGTCTTCATTGCCCCCTTTCTGGAAGGGATAAAGTCAGAGTTATATAAATAGAGACCCAACTTCACTTCACAAATGTGAAGCACTGCTTTTTAGCTCGGAAAACGCAAAGCTTGAGAAAGATGTTTTAGCCTTAGGTTTTTGATGAGCAAAAGGATTTTTCTTCAGCCAACAAAGCAGCTGACGTCATTTTCACAGGCTGCCATTGTGTTAGGCGTTAGCGCATCAAGGTTAACAACAGTTGAGAGGCTCATCTTTATCCGTGATCTTGTCAACTGTAAGACTTTGGCGAAAGAAACCGTTGGCACGGAGGCATTCGCTTTTATGAATGGTTCTATTCTTCAATTGGCTTTAAACCTTGAAATCGCAACTCTGAGATCTTTTGAAGAGAAGATTTTTTTCTTTCATGAACGGGAAAAAATCTGATATACAGTTAGTGTAAAAACCCATAAAACATCTGCAATGAGTTTAGAAGACACCAACTCGGAACTGACGACGGAGACGAGGAACAGCCACAACGGAAGCAGAGACAGGCTTGGACTGAGCTTCACTATTGACTACCTTCTGTTCAATAGTGGAGTCGAACGTTCGAAAGGAGAAGTGACGGCAAGTAGCGCAGCAAAACAGACGGAGACCAGTCTGCTAAATGATCAGAATCCTGAACTGAAAGAGATGGAGATTCAACGCAAAGAACAGGTGACGTGTCTACAAGAGCCAAACGCCAAAGCTGGGAAAAGTAAAACCAGTAAAGAGGAGTGGGACAAAAACCAACACGACGAGGGAGAGGAGGAAGTGACCACCACCACATCGCCTACAAGCTGTAATTCTGAGAAATCCTTAGACAAACCCAATCAGTCGTACATCGCACTCATCTCAAAGGCAATCCTGGCGTCTGATGAGAAGAAGTTGCTTTTGTGTGACATCTACCAGTGGATCATGGACCATTACCCTTACTTCAAGAGTAAGGTATGGTCATCTTAATCTTTTTTTCTGTTTATACCAAAGAAAAAATAAAGTTCTGCAGAACTGTAATACGGTACAACAGGTAGGCTAGCTGCAAAGGCAAGCTGGAGTCATTATTTGGTGTTAATGTGAAGTAAAATGTGCTGTCTTGAAATATGTTCCTCTCATATGTTGACATTGATACTTTAAATGGAATCCCAAACAAAAATTATAATTTTGTGAACCTCTATATGAGTTTTATATAGACATTAGAACATGGTCTAGGAACCATTTTCTTTAGCAAAGCGACCTAGTTGGCTCAGGTAATCTGTCTGAGTGGTTAAGCAATTAGGTGCTCACAAGGACAGTAGATGATCTTCTTGTTGGCAAATTCGCAAATAAAGTAATCCTGTTGCTAGGTCGCAAACTGTCACTGCCTTCGACAGGTGTGACAGCAGATTGGGTGCCGTCCAATGAATTAAAGTTGATCGCTAGTTGACGTGCTAAAAACGTAAGACAGGGTGTTGTTAGTTACTGTGATCATACAGGCTCTCGACACACAATGGTGCCTGCTTGCCAGCAGCAGGACTAAAATGGATCACTGATACTTTGCGGCCCCATGAGTTATTTTCCAGTTGTGAGAAACCATTGCGCTACTCCTACTTACTTCCAATATAACTTGTTTTCTTAAGCTGATTTATTTTATTTTACATGTTCCAACAGGATAAGAACTGGAGAAACAGCGTGCGGCACAACCTGTCCCTCAATGACTGCTTCATCAAAGCAGGTCGAAGTGACAACGGCAAAGGTCACTTCTGGGCAATCCACCCTGCCAACTACCAAGATTTTTCTAAAGGGGACTACCAATGCCGGAGGGCAAGAAGAAGGGCGCGCAGGGCGGCGACACATATCCGTCTTTCCTCCCTGACCTCCCCTCACCACCCTGCCGCCGCACTGGCCCCTCACAGAACAACCTGTTGGTGCTGCCCTCAGGTCCCGACATTTCCTCTGTCCTGTTTTACACCTAGGCTCTACTGGCCGTGGTCCAGCATGCAGCAACAAGTGGGGCTTCAGCTGGGTCTCAATCCCTCTGTTCCCTGAAAGGGTTTAAGTCCTTCACTCTATGTTTGCAGTTTGGTTGGAATGTTTTTACAGTGCGATAAAATCAAATTTCATCATGATATTTATATTGTGAGACAGTTAAAGTGTATATTGTATCTTAAAGTTTCAGTATTTTAAAATTCCTGTATTTTCCCCCACTTGTGTTCTGATATCACAGAGTTTTGTCATAAACATATTAAATAATCAATTTTCCCATGATGTGTGTTTTCTTTTACTACTTTATTCAGCAGACAGCTTTTAGCTGTTAAAGGTATAGGAAGAATACATTCTCAAAAGATTATTACAGAGCCCCTTTAAAGAAATATTGTGTGTGTGTGTGTTAGTGATTGTGCGTCCAGATTTTGCTAACAGAATGCTAAAAGTGAGCCCCCTAATAGGACACCATCCGGTGCTACATGCTAATTAGTTAAAGCTGTCGGGATGCAAAATCCTGAATCCTAAGAGCCCTAAAATCTGGCTTTCCAAAGACGACCCAAGGAAATGAGGCCAGATAATCTCGGCAATCCGAAATAGTTTCAAGAACTAGGAAGCTTATCACACTGTGTAATCCGCAGCCGCTGCTCTAAAAATAAGGGAGGGGTGGGATGAGGTGTGTGGGGACAATGGGTGGTCTTGAATGTAGGGAGCACAGGAAAGGGATGGAAGCTGGAAGAGCGAAGGAGTAATGATTTACTATAGATTGATGGAAGGGCAGCATAGCCTATATGTGATTTTTTTTCTGTTCATTTGGGGGAAAAAAACAGACACAATAAATAAGCTGCTATTATGGTATCAAATCTTCTTAAATGAGGAGGATGCAAAGTATGAATTGTCAAAATTTTAATAACATCAACCTCATACAGCTGATTTCATGTTTAAATTAACAAATGAGATATTATATTCATAAAAATCCAAACCGACATGCGTTTAACAAACAGTTCCGGACAAATTATGAAAGACAGATTTAAAGGTTTTTGCTGTTGTGGAAATTTTAGAGAAAAGGTTTTTGAAAACTGACATTTTATATCACTGATGGTTACTCTATTGATACCAAAATCTCACCGAAAAACAGACATATTTAGTTTTTAAAGAAACAGCAGTTTATTTAAAAGATGTTTATTTTAATTGGTCAATAATGTTTTGTAAAATATTTAAGAAAAAGATAAAAATATAAACAGAAATTCCCCTTTCTGATATAGATGGATAATGGCAATAATTTACTTTAAAACAGCTTTTATAAGAACCAGAATGCTCATGGATAAGCACATGTTTTTTTTTCTGCAAAAAGATTTCACCAATTCACCAAACTGATCAGAACATATAATTGACCTCTGTCTTTAATATTCAAATTCCAGCTTTGCTCTGAGATGACTCCAAAATACCACCACAAAAACAAGAGACAACTTCTATTTTACCGACTCTGCTCACATCAATAGGGAAATTCCTCTCTGATTTGCAAAGGTTGGCATTTAAATCCACAGTTCTGCAGCCTTTGAGGATTAGATCATACATTGACTTTTCTAAAGTTTGTTTGTTCTCTGCTCATGTGGGCTTCCTATTTGCAAAATATTGAATATTTGAATAAGGCTGTATTTGACATTAAATTAGATTCTGAACAGACAAACAATATGTCAGAGGGATCAAGAGCTGGGAGAGCAGGTGTTATTCACCACACTTAGTTTCTGGCCATGTTCATTAGAACAATGAAAAATCCATCTAATTAATTTTTGTTCTCCAAATCTTCCTATTCGATGTCAGCAGCTAATTGGAGGCCTAATTTGCTTAACTCCCATGAAAAGGTCCCTGCATGAAATCCTCTTCAATTCACCAGCTTTGCGGCTTTAATTTGGTTGCATATGTTTGCTATGCACACACAAACACACACACACACACTAACCCCCCCACACATGCACACAAACACACACACACGGTTTTCAATGCACACACTGCTAATTTATGCATAAGCAAACATGTTGCTAAGTGAAGCTTTTTGTGAGATGTGAAATATCTGTGAACATTTTAGGCATTTTTCCTGCAAAAAGGGGAACATGTTTGCTAATCAGACAAAATTATAATTAACCACATTATTACAACTTATCCGATTGAGGTCAGATTGAGCTGTGTGTCTCGGTGTGTGCATGCATATGTGCATGTTATTTTGTTAATCTAATGAGATGGGTGGTGGCGTGCTGGGGGCCGTAGATTAAAGCCCAAAGATTTTTTTTTTTTTTTTTTGCTGATTAGCAGAGAGTGAGCTAAGAAGATCAACTCTGCTGAGATGGCGAGGGAACATTAAGGCCGTGTTTTAATACACTCTGTTTACAGCAGCATTCCAAAGCTGATTTCCTTTAACTCACATGTAACTCTGTGATTTGACCAACATACAAAAGATTGTTATTCAACTTAAATCTATACACGGTGCTAGATCAGAGAGAGATGCTTGAAAGGTGAGCTTGACTTCAGTAAAGATGATTTTCAATTTGAAATTGGGTTTAAGTTTAAATGACTGCTTGGGAGAATTAGGTATCCTAGAAGAAAAACACAATGTATAATGTTTATTCATGCATTTTCCATATACTGTACCTGCTTAGTCCTTGCAGAAGGGCAGTTGCTGGCATCGATAAAACTGCTGAAACCTAATCAATAAAGCTGGTGTAACAGTTTGTATACATTTTAATTGGGGTTTTAAAAAATCATCACTATTAAGTAGTCAAATATTAAATTTTTTTACACAAACAATTGCAAGCACTTTTCAAAAAGTATTTGTGTTGTACTATAAAATATTTCTAAGATTGTTTTTTCTCACTTATTTATTGAAATGAATTATATATTTCATAGTAACTTAAAGTTTAGGCAGTTTTTCATATTCTAGAGCAATAGTTAACTGATAATGTGCCAGTGCAAAAGGTCCACATAATTAATAGTTCATCACCAACAGAATATATTTCTAAAATTAAATGTTTTAAAACCTAAAAGATCACAATAAAAACATACCTCATAAATAACTTAAAATCATTCACAGTTGAATACATTAGTAAACACAAACAAGTTATATGGATGAAGACGATCCATTTATCCTTTTGTCCAGGTACTCTATGATGAAATGAAGAAGAAAAATAAAAAAAAATAGCTCTGTGTCTAATCTGTCCTCTCACATTAAAATTTAAATATTGCACTCCAAAAGTCTGGCAATTCTATGGCAAGAGAAAAGCAATAAAGTACAACTTATAGTTTGATTCAAGCATCGTATTTGACCCATCAAGCGTTTGGAAAAAGTTGTGTTCTTTTCTGATTTTTTTCACCTACATGTCTAAAGTTATGTGTGTCACAAGTGTAACATTGCAACTTGACATTCTGTCCCATCAGTAGTTATGGCAGCGTCATGCTGTGGGTTTTCTGTCTTCAGCTGGAAAAGGGACAAGAAAGACGGTCACCAAAAATTTTACTATGGATGGAGCAAAATCAGTACTTTGATGAAAGTAAACCTACAAGTCTGCAAAACACCTTCCATAGATATATGGAAGGCCAAAATATATTAGAAAATAAATAAGTAGATGTAGACATTTATTTACATGATTTAAATGTTAAATATGCCATTTAATTTTAAAATGCACACCTAAATAGTTAAATGTCCAATTAAGTAAATTGATAATTAAATTTCACTTAAAAAGTATATTAGAATTGTAGAATTTATATGTATTAAAGAATAAAGTAATATAGTGAATATGATTTTAAGCGTTTTTCCAGTCTGTTTCGTTGTTATTTTTGCAGTCAGGAATGCTTGGGACATCCATGTGTCAGAATGACTCATCACTGAAAAAAGTGTAACATGTAACTGTTCATTCAAACTAATGCTTTTCACTCCAAACTAGATAAAATTATTGATTTAATTGTGTAACTCATTCTTTTTGGATTTTGAGACAGCAAGTTTGATTCAACCTGAACTAAATACACATACAAAGAACCCAAAACAAAGTTTTTGATTTCTCTCAATATGTATATATTTATTAATGGCCTGAAGGTAATTTTTTTTTTTTTATGTGAACAGCGCTTTGCATGCACTCGGAGCACATCACCCCTGACCATGACAGAGTGGTTCAGTGGCTAGCACTGCTGCGTTGCAGCAAAAAGGTTGCAGGTTCAAAACCGGGATGTTTCTGCTTGGAATTTGTCTGTTCTCATCATGCATGTGTGGATTCTCTCTGGGTACTCCTTCTTCCTCTCAAAGTCCAAAAACATGATTGTTAAGGTTAATAGGCTTCTCTAAATAATCCTTAGGTTGGTAACCTCTCCAGGGTGTATAGAGATTGGAAATGGAATTTATCTTTGAAGTAAAGTCAAATGATATGTGAAAAATCTAATTTGGTTATATTTAAATTAACTGGTTTCTATACAACCATTAATTCTTGTTAATTTTTAAAAGTAAATATATTAGGTTGGTCCAATGTCAATGTATTAGTTTGTTTCATCAACTGAAATGTTCAGAACATTATTTGGAACAGGGCAAAGATTTTAAGTTGTGTCAAGTGTAGTATTATTGCTTACATCAACATAATATAATCAAGTAATTACATTCAGATTCTGTGAAGTCAAATATTTTAGATGTGCTATCTGGCATTTTTTTTTTAATAGTCTGAGCAAGGTTATAATTTTTCCAGTGCATCATACTGTGGTTTTAGTTAAACACTATGAGCTCATTTTGGCAAACAATAATAATAATAATAAAAATCAGTTGATAAATCAGCCTAAAGTACGTAACCTAAGGTACGTTGATAATAAAAACAGACTTTGCAGGTCTTCATTCTAATTTTAATTATTAGTCTCAGAAGTTTTTTGCTTCCTGCTGCTGCTGCTGAATGAGTCTTACGGGCCCCGAAGCCAAGTGGAGCCCAAATTGCTGCATTATTAGAAGCATGATTGCATAGAAGTAAGCAGCATTTAAGGCTTAAAGAAGCCAAACCAGAGCTTTTTCTGCTTGTGTCCCACTATGAACAAAAGCCCTGCGTTACCTCGGCTTCAAAGGCTCTATAATAGTCAATCGATCAGAATGCGAAGCGCTGTTCTGCAGATTACTGTTAACAATAATTTGCCTCCCAGTGCACCGTTGCCATCTTTGAAGCAATGTTTTATTGCCTTTTCTTTTTTTCATCTGCATCTGTCATCCCCGAGGTCCACTGTTTGATCTCTCTCCCCCAAGTGCGTGCCTCCCCCGGGTCGCG